TCATTTGACACACAAATCGAAATCGTGATCAAAATTCAATTAAACACATAGCCTTACCCGTAGTAATAAAATTTTTGTCATTTTGCCCAGCCCTAGTAACATTGTAGGTTTCTTAAGGTCTTTCCATTGCTATGAAAACATCTGTAATTGATTTAAATGCAGGTGTATGTACGTAAAAGTAAAGTAAAGCCAAATATGTCATAAGTTAGTTATAGCTCTGAAGGCAATTTTTTACAGGTTGTCTCAGGTCAAAATGTCCTCAGCTTTTAGCATAATGAACTTTAAATGTCAGCACATAGCCAAATCAATAAGCCTCGCTCAATGTATCCTTTGTGTACATAAACAATTGGTTTTATTGATCTCGGCTTTCTGATTAATGTTTTACACAGTTTTAATTAAATCAAATCAAATGTCATTCAGTTTATTCTTTAAGAGCATTTGTTGGCTGTTTTTCCTCACAGTGCCAAATGTTTGGGGATGAAAGCCACTTTGACAGGAAGTGTAGTGCAGACATCTACAAGACATTGAGTTTAATTTTGAGCCAACTGCTGCGACAAAAATGACGATCAAATCAACAAAAAGTCTAGACACTTAGAGCACATTTGTGTTATCTGGGCTCCTGCATGGTCTAGTCCCAAAACTGCCAGTGACAGTAGACAACATACAGTAATGCATAGGCGAATGCAAATCAATCTAATTGTGTTTTTGTCCTCATGGCACCTTGTATAAGTGAACTGATCTATAGTTTGTCTGGTGTGTTTGTCGATGCCCTTCTTTTATCAGATTTTAGCCCTGGGTCACAGCTGAACCCATGCAAAGAGTCATTTCAGTTTAATAACAAAAATATGTCTGCTTACATCATACATTTTGGATCATAAACTTGTTTTGTAGTGAAACAAAAGGACATTAGAGTTATAAACACAAGAAATTGCAATTCGAATGGACACAATTGACAAAGCAAAGACTTACATTTTTCAGTTTCCTTCACAAACAACAAGAATTTTTATCTTTATGCTGCAAAAAAATGGCTAACCCTGTACAAACATGTTCTGAAATGTGATTTTTGTCAGTTTTTCTTTTTATCACTTGTTCTGGACATGTTTAAAATGTTAACTTGCACAGAATCCTTTCATAAAAAAGCAAATCTAAACACAAATTCACATTTTGATATTTTTCCGAAATCGTTCAGCCCAAATTGATTATTATGTTTCTGTTTAATTGTTTCAGGTTTTTGCATCTTGTTCTGTGGACCAGTCGATTCGTATCTGGGACATTCGTGCTCCTCCAAATTCGATGCTCTCGGCCAACGAAGCGCACTCGTCAGACATTAATGTGATCAGCTGGAACAAGAGTGAACCTTTTCTCTTGTCCGGAGGAGATGACGGGGTCCTCAAAGTCTGGGACCTGCGACAATTTAAGGTACAAACCAGGTCACAGTAAACAATGAGGAATATACTGTGAACGACACATCTGCATGACCAACAAATTTTAGACCAATTACTTTTGATACGTTGCAGTGACTCTTTTTTTCAACAAAAAGGTCAGAGTGACTAACTGAAAATCTATTTGCTAATGCTAGCTAGTGACTGTAATGTTATTTGAGAGGGACTTTCACAAATTAACTCATCTGTTGTAGGTCCAGCTAAATTTGCTCTTTTTAGTCAGATTGTGTTAAAACAAAACTGTACGTTTTGTCTAAGAAAGCTTCAGACAAAACAAAGCCTTCAGTTAGCATCACATCCCCAGGAATATGACATCAGCTGCAAAGTTTCTTATGAACAGTCCTGTTTGTCATACCTTGACAGTTTCGACAGGACTCTGCTGCAGTGTCACGTGATGTTGCTGTGACAGTTCAGCTGATTTAAACGTCACAACTATGTCACGTGACATACAGTATGTTTACAGTTTCAGCTGCACTCTGCTGCCTCCTTTTAAACATTATAAGTCTGCTCATAACAAACTACAGGCTCTAGGCCTTTTAGACATATTATTAGTAACACTAATATATTGGTGGTACTGATTCCATTATAATTATTAGATAAGAAATTAGTAACATGTTATACTTTTTTGTCTAAAAAATTCTAATGTAAATTCAAATTTGATTATGTAACTTCCTTATTGTACAATAATGTAATAAAGTTTTTATATGGTTAAAAATCAACCTCACCACATTGTAAAGTTGTCAAGAAAACTGATACTTAAACTTGTACTGAAAGTAAATATTAATTTGAAAAAATATCTTGAAATATCTTGTATTGGACCTTCTTTGGCTGGTTGTTCTTGATCTATATCAGAAGACCATATAGTATATAATATGATCAAAAAGCACTATTTTGTGTTGAAGATTTGCTTAATTATTGATAAAAATTGGTGTTTTCCTGGTATCATTATCATTTGAACATGTCCTCGTGCACTACCACGTGCAAGCACATACCAAAAAACAATGTACATTGTATACAGAACAGATAAACGCTTTTTAATGAATGTACTGTGTCTTATGTAACATTTATGGGTCACGCCCACTGTGATAACATGAAATAACAATAGATTTTTTAACTGCAGACTGGACATCCTGTGGCCAACTTTAAGCAGCACAGTGCCCCCATCACTTCAGTAGAGTGGAGCCCCATAGACTCCAGTGTTTTTGCCGCCGCTGGAGCTGATGATGTTGTCAGCCAATGGGATCTGTCCGTGGAGTCATGTGACGTGGGTGCCCGAGTCGAGGGGGTGAAGGACCTGCCCCCTCAGCTTCTGTTCCTGCACCAGGGTCAGACCGAGATCAAAGAAATTCACTGGCATCCACAACTACCAGGTGTTCTGGTTTCCACGGCACTGTCGGGCTTCAACGTGTTCCGGACGATATCTGTGTAGAGGAGAGCGCTTGAGTACATAAAGACTGTACTCAGGAATGGACAAAACCAAATGTATCAATACTTTTTGGTTCATTCTCTTGGCAATAACCAGTATTTTTCCAGTCCATCAAATTGTCATATTATTCAAATTTCCCTATTTGTAAGTGTTATAAATGTGACAGAAATAATGGTGACTTGGTACTCCGCAGTACTCGACAGTATCTGTGAGTACACAGTGACTGAATGCACCACAAACTGACAAATACTGACAAAAAACAATGGTCTATTTTTGAATTATGCAAGGAATGGTTATATAATTTTCAAATCCTACAGAAATGTGAGTGTATGTCTGTAATGTTTTCTTCAAGTTCTCTTTTGAAGGGGGAAAAAGGTGCAGTAATATCACCTTGTATGCTTGTTTCATAAATCATTATCTAGCCTACTTAGTTTTTGGTTGGTTTCTGAAATGGTGACTCTGTACTTGGTAACGAAATGTTACATAAGTAGAATTAGTATATAGTTAATCTTCTAGAGTAAACGATACTCACCTCTTCTAAGAAGATAAATATTGATGACATTTCTTCACTATTCAGCAGTTTGTCTGTATTGTCCTTTCAGTTTAATTAGTTTTCTACTGCTAATATGTACAGTACAGATAACCCAATACATAAAATACATCCTACTTTGTGAATGTGGTTTTTGTCACATTTAAGTCTTTTAAATTAATTGAGATGCATGTTGACAATGTGTTTTTCAGCAGAAGACTGTTCAGAGTTGAAAGAATCAGGCCAGTAAGGAAATGTTTCATTCACAACACAAATATTTACACATATAATAAAGATTTAATTCCAAAATAAGAAAAAATGAACAGCATGTCTATGTCCAAGTATAGTGTTATTCATTTAACCAGATAAATACAGTTTCAACATCTGTTTGAAAATGTTACATTGACAAAGGAAATCATTCTTGTGTCTATCAATAGTTGCTCTTAGGTTTTCTAGCTTTAAAGAAGAACCAGATAATTGATGCTGTAGTAAAACTTTGGCTCCGTTCACACCTGGTCTGAGGCTAGTTTGAATCTTAATGTAGATTTGGTTGAGTTCTGTTCTTCTAATCCTTTTTTTTTAGTCCCACAGTTAATGTGGTTAGTGAGCAAATGTGAACACACCCAAAATTGTGTGGTTTATATCAACAAATCTGGCACAAAGTTTTGAGTTCACACTTCTAGTTAGATCCCAGTTTAGTCCTGATGTTGACATGGTCCAGTTTTGGTCCTGGTTTAGTCCTGGTTTAATCCTGGTTAATCCAAGTACAATTGGCAGTTTAGTCCAAGTTTAGTTCAAGTTTAGTCTTGATGTAGACTTTGGTCCTGTTTTGCTCCAGTTCCCTGTTCTAGTCCATGTTCAGTCTCAGTTTATTTCCCAATTTTGAAGTGATATTGTAATTCACATTTGGTCATTATAATCAATTGCCTGATGTATTTGTAGTGATAACAGTTGTAAAACAAACATTAAAGACATAATACAAAACATAGATAGTCATTAAGATTTGGGTAAAGTACAGGCTAACAGCTTTGAGCTCATTTTTAAGGCACATTAGAAATTCTTTGAGCACTTAAGATAAAAATACATAATTAAAAATAAGGCTTGAGAAGATGTCCACTGAGCGATATGTCAAGAATATGACGTGTTTAAAAGTGCTAATCTTTCACTGTTACAATGTAATGAATGTTTTGGGGCTCTGGCAAAAAAAACAAATGTTGTTTTTCCAGTTGAGTAACATTGTCTTCAAACTGAATAGCTTAAGTATTTGAGTCAGTTCATCTTGCATCAGTTCGTCGTAATAAACCTGCCCTCCAATCTCAAGAAAGTTGTACACTATAAAACTACATGAGTTATAAATAGCTTGAATTCAGAATCTTGTTTTGATTCGCACATATTAATCTATTTCCTTGAGTTACATATTGTATTCCTCAACTGTTACAGGAAATTCTTTTAAGAAATAATTACCTCTCAGTGGAGTAAAGTCTTGGACAAATAACTTGGAATTACAAAATCTATCGAAAGATATCTTGAAACCAGTCCAAAACTTTATTGCATTACAGATTTTTTAATTGTAAAAATACTTTTGTCAGGCTGCGTTGTTTGCTATTCTGTGGAACATTTCAGGCAAGACAACATCTCCTTGTAGAAAAGAAGGTTTTGAACCCTCCACCTAAAGACTTGCATAGCACCTCTTTAATTTAAGATATTTTGAATTCAATTTACCTCTAACTCTTCCAGATATTTTTGCAGTGTACTCTCTTATTTAACAGCAAAATATTGTGAAATCTCTTCTGTCTTTATCTTCTATAGGCCTATTTCATCATCAAACTCATCTTCAAAAGTGTAGCCCTTTCCGACCTCCTCTTCCTCCTCTGAGTCAGTTTCTGAATGGCAAATGTCCACCTTCCTCCTGTCCAATGCAGTGACCCCCTCATACTCCGAGCTGTGTGACGAAGCCGGACTGGGGGGTAGTTCTACCTCTGTTGTTCCCATGATGACCCCCCTCTCCATCTCGCTGTCTCCCTTCGTGGGACTAAGGCACACCATCTCATCTTGATCTTGAAAATCAAATCCCTGTCCCTCCTCTTCTTCGGATGCCTGTCGAATGATCTCCTCGCGTTTGTCACTAAATCTAACTTTGGGTCGTAAAGCTTTTGCCCTGAAACTATTCCCATCTGGTATTCTGCTGTCTCCCTCCACTCCATTCTCATCCAGCGATTTTCCATTTAGCTCATTTCTCAAATCCACAGACGTCTCCATGGCACCATTTGGCTGGTTTATTTCCACTGGCGAGACACTACTTGTGGGACTAAACACATCTTCGTCCAATCCCAAACTGTCCATCACCCCCAAAACATCTCCCAGCATAGACGGACCAAGATCCAAGTCTAGATCTAATGTGAATGATGACACTGACTCTGAATGCAAGGTCTCATTCGTATCCACGTGGTCGACTTGCACTGCAGGTTCAATAGTTGGAGGTGGAGAGGATATTTCTGAGCTACTCGTTTCAGATGCTCTTGGATTGGGGCCGATGGTGGATAGGAAAGACGTGTCGCCAAAAGTGTCCCCGCCCCTCCCGATGTGCATTGTGTGGCGAAAGTCCCCAAGAGGAGCTGAGATCATGGTTGGGTCCAGCCGCGGGGCTCGAGATGACTTGTGAAGTGGCATTGCTGTGAAAAGGAGAAGAGAAGATTAAAATTTGTATATACACATAGTACATACATAAATAACAGCGCTGAACGATTTGGGGAAAATAATCCAGTTGTGATTTTTCATTGTGATTTTATACTTAAGTTTTTAATAATAGGATTCTGTTTAAAGTTCACATAAATGCATCTAGACTGAGGACTGCAAGGTGAACTGACAAACTAATACAAGAAGCCATATTTTATGTAGAATAAGGAGGATTGTTTGTTGTCTGATAATGAAAATATTGTACTTCAAAAATTGCAGCCTTTGCTAATTGTGTCCCTTCAAATTGCCATTTCGATTTTTAAACACAATGGAATCTAGGCACTCCAAAGAAGTAAAAATATAGTGAAAAGGCCTTTATTTGCTATATTAAGTATAATTTTACTTGTTTGGAGTGCCTTGATTCCATTGTGTTTAAAGTTTTAATCCTTTTTCCAAGAGCAACCACTACCTGCTCCCATTGATTGGAACACCTGCAGCAAACAAGCCATTTCGATTTGTTTGCAATTAATATTGCATCCCTGATATTGGATTTTAATCAAGATGGGGATTCAGTGATCTCTAATTATCAGTGATCAGATTGGTGTTTTTAATCATGAGGTCTACAGCCAATAGTAAAAAATGTGGTTTGTAGCAGACTTCAGACTTTTGATGAAGAACTTTGACATCTGTTTTATCATGAGTTTATGTTCAGGAAATTAATATTGAAGCCTATTTGTATAAAACTCAACTTTGTAAAAACAACAAAAAGGAGGAACGAAAGTGTGACACATTTTTTGTCATATCGCCAGCAGTATGACTACATCGGTTTTCCTAGTTTACGATAGAGGTAGAAATGCCAGTTAAAATGGCTTTGGGGTGATGAAAAATCAGCACTGTTACCATAGAAATTAACAATTCAATGGTGACATCACCTATAAATAGGAGTCTGAAAATAGGCAAGGCACGTTTGTGTACGAATTGTGCTATACAGTTAGAGTAACTCAAAGAGCTTTACAGAACAGGAGAGATGTCAAGACAATCAAGACAACCAAATCAACATAAATAATCATCACAAAATTAACATTAAAGAGAAAAGAGAAGAGTGCAGAATAAATCCTTTCAGTCATACATACTACTTATTTTAGCCTACCTATTTTTATGACACCTAGGATGTTTTGTTATTCAAAATAGTCAAAGCGTGTGCAATTTCATTCTGTCCCCACACTATTTCTACACTACTTCCTTATCTACAGTTGCCCTGGGTCTGAATGACAGAAAAGTGGCAGCCAATCTGTACCAACAGCCTCTCTCTATTTTCTTATGAATAATATATCAAAACAAATAAGTACAGCACTTTCTATCATTGTTGTGTGTATGTGAACCTCCCAGAGTCATTTGTATTAACTGCAACTTGATACATGTGACAACAATACACATCACCAAGGCTTACGTTTGTATTGAGCAATAATGTGGGAAACCAGTGTGCTTTTTGGCACTGTAACATACTGAAGGACCATGCTGGGACTTGCACATGTAAGAGACTCATGCAACGTTAGCACATACTTTTCTCTGGCCTCAGGGGTGTGGGGAGACAAAAACACAGCAACTTTCTCTCAGAAATGAAATCAAATCCTCCAGTACCCCAAAGGCTACATTTTTGTTTTAAATGACAAAATAATAAGATAAGAAGACCAAGCTAGACAGCCTAAATCTATAAGTTCTAATTAGAAAAACTGTATTATTTATAAAGTAGGACATAGCTCAATCTATTACCCATCTGATTTAGAAACCTAGTTCATTAACAGCATCAAAACATCTCTACCATATGGCTTGCATCTGTTGACCTGTAGGGCTGGAGAGCACCCAATTTCACAGTAAGTTACATGGTTAAATAAAGGGGTATGTGTACTATGTAGGCCTACTAAAACTTCAAGGTATTTAATAGTAGGCTACTTTAAAAGGAAACAAACAAATGTAACTAGGCTATATAACAGACTATAAATGAAGAGTAGCCTATAACCAGACACGCGCTTATTTGGAGTTATAACAGTGCAACAGCTCGTGAAGTCGTTTCATTCACCTGAACCAATTGCCAGAACAATCAATCAATATAAAAACTTACTTCAGTATTTGTTAGGTGGGATTATCTTAGCCTCCTTTGCGATATCCGACTTTTTCATCTGACTTTTTAATGTCGCTTGCTTCCCGCTCGCCTTTGCTGCGCTCCTTCCTCGCTGTTGCTTGTGTGAATTTTCTTTCGCGTTTTTTTTTTTCCAAAGGGATGGGCTCGGACCGAGGAAGTGACGCGCAGTTATTGGGGAGAGTTGTAGGATCAAAGTTCTTCTGGTATGTTCTCAATCTTTGCCTGTGAAAAGAAAACTTCATAGGCCACTTCATAGCCAGGAACATTTCATTTTGTCCAAAAGTTAAAGCCATCAGTGTGTGTTAAAGACTAAATGTCACAATTTTTTATGACATTTTTTTCAAATGTGTGCTTCTGCTTGTCTCTAAGTGTTGTTCCTTTGGCTATAATCGTCCACAGGCATAAAACATACTTGTATCTATCTCTATTTATTGTTACAATCTACATCTATTTCCATTAAATCATATAAGAGATGTCCCACCACCAGAAAGTTACATACTGCATCTTTAAGTAGGAGTAGACTTTTGTAGTTTTGATCTCTAGGGATGTTGAGCTTGTTGTTATTTTTTTAGGCTTTGCAATTATGCTCAGTTCCTATAGCAGTAAACTGAAATCCCTGAAGTGCCATATTAAGTCCAGCTTTTACTCGCAAATCTCAGGATACAAGATAAAGATGTCCTCATAAGCCTAAAAACATTATAATAAACACCATATGAGCTATTTTGTGCTTGTATTTCTGTGAATTTGAGTCAAAACACATCTCTTGAGTTTATATTAAACTTCTCACCCTCCTATCCTGTTTTCACCGAGATCTGCAAACAGTAAAACACATATTTACTTCACAACATGTAATTCCACTGCCCTCAGAACTGTAACACATCTAATTAGGGCGGTGAATGAATTACTGAGATTTTTTGTGTGCGTGTGTGAGCCATTTTAGCCACAACTTGTGCATGTTTAGGGTGTCTTCAATAAGAGACCATCCTTATTTGGCTGTGTATTCTTTCAGCACATGTCTTTCTTTCTTTAATCAGAGACACTGTAACATTATACCTGAACTCCTGGAAGTATTTTTGGCATGAGCATAAGTCATTCTTCGCATGCACGTGTCACAGAATCTTGACATATTTGTGTGATGATGTAATCTGCCAGGAAACATTGTGAACATACTAAACATTCAGGCATTTCTAATTACGTCATCTCTTCATGTGATTTAAATACAAAGGTAAAAATTAAAGCCGCGGAGGAGTACGTCAGTGAATGTTTTGGCAAAGTTTTACAAATGAATGTAAAACTAATTTTATGTCACACAATAATAAATTGTGTGCATTCATATAGGTGGCGCTGTATCCCTGATAACTGTATTTGACATATCAATGGAATAAGGGTCATGCAGTGTATAACTGATAGAAATGTCATCACAATCGGACAAAACATGTGCATATAATAATTTTTACAATATTTTTTGGGGGATTCTCTGTGCCCCTGCTGGCCAACCGTGAAAAATACACCATGACTGTAATAGACATTTTTGCTTATAATCATGCAAAGAATTTATTCCCCGACTTTGGTCCAAGTCCGATAATGTTGACATTTCATGTCTATGGTAGGGGGCGCTATAGTGTTCACTTTTAATATGTTTTATACTGTTTTATATTCAGGCTGAGATCACACATTAGTGATTCAAATTTCAGCACGATCCGATTAAACATGGGCATGTAATCATTTTTTAACTATTTTTGGGGGGAGTCTTTGCGCCCCTGCTGGCCAGTGGTGGAAAATGCATCATATCCATAATGGACTTTTTTGCTTGTATTCATGTGTAGAATTGTATTTCCAAATTTGGTGCTAATCTGATAATGTTTACGTTTCATGTCTATGGTAGGGGGCGCTATAGAGTTGACTTTTCATATGTTTTATATTGTATTATATTCAGGCCGTGATCATGCATTAGTGATTCAAATTTCAGCACGATCGCACTAACCCTGTGGGTGCAATCATTTTTTAACAATTTTTTGGGGGAGTCTTTGCGCCCCTGCTGGCCAGTAGTGGAAAATGCAGTTTGTCCGTAATAGACTTTTTTGCTTGTCATCATGCATAGAATTTAATTTCCGAATTTGGTCCAAATCCGATAATGTTGACGTTTCATGTCTATGCTAGGGGGCGCTATAGAGTTCACTTTTATTAGATTTCATATTTCATTACATTCAGGCCTGGATCACACAATTGTGATTTGAATTTGAGTTCTCTAGGACAATGCCTGTGGCCGTGACAGGTCACCGAAAAAACAGGAAATGAAGGCGTTATTCGCCGGCGTGCTACGGGCGAACCGTAAGGAGTATCCCAAAAACATGGAAGATTTGAGTGAAGCTGTCTGTAGATGTGACATGTCAAATCTGAGCTCATTTGGACCATTCCCTCCGTTACCGACAAGAGTTTTTAAATTTTTTGTCAACAACTTGAAAGAATATCACACGTTTAACTTTACCCTGTTGGAGTGTTAACTCTTTCCTACATTCTGATACTTTACTTACTTCAATAGTCCCTCTAGTTTCTGAATGAGAACTATTTGAATGTCAAAAATCTACCCGTTTCCCTCCGTTACCGCTTGACCGGACCCCAGTGTATCGGCAGTAACCGATCTATCCGAACTTTTTAATGTCAACAAACATCGTTAGTCGTTAATGATTCATTTATGTTTAGGTAAACCACAAACAACAATTTAGCTTTGTAACAAACCTTTGACGAAGTGTTCACTGCAGACACGAGCATTTGCGGATTCTGCTCCTCCCGACCGCAAACGTAGGTTTGTAATAGAGCCCGACCGATATATCGGTTGGCCGATATTATCGGCTAATATGGACAACTTTAGGCATATCGGTTATCGGCCTTGCTGATAGGGGCCGATATTTCACATGGGCATGTTATACCTCGTTATAAGCTTAGACTCTCTACATTCTGTTCATTTAATTCAATTTACAGACAGATAAATGTCCTAATATGTGGCTCCACATCAGTATTTATCTACGGAGTCATTTGTCTGTGTGTGTCTGTACTGTCCCTGAACACACCACAGAGTCGTCACTCACATGTGTTTGTTTAGACCTGCAGACACAGATCCAAACACTGAGATTATATTCTTTTTACGGACAATCGGTTTGAGTCTGGATTAAAAGGACATTTATTAGTGTAGAATTGTGATGTGAGGAGGAGCCTGTATGAGCGGTGAGTGTTGGAAATATGTCGACTCTGAAGCTAGTTTTTGTCATTTGTTATGGGTTAGCTGCTGTAGCTCCCGCACATAAACAGACTGTTTTCTATTGGTCTGTTCTAAAGTGACTATATTGGCCGTATATTTGCTACTGGACCTGCACTGATATGTAAATGAGCTGTGAACAGACGTGTGAATTATGACATTTGCGCATATAATTAATTACCGCGGCGCGCACGTATTTACAGCTAAAGGCTAATAGCGCTACTTTCTTTACTAGTTATGGGTCCGTCGCGAACGAAATGACTCTTAGAACCGGCTCTCTAAAGGGAACGACGGGAGCCTGATCCTTATTGGGAGCCGTGTTTTCTCTTTCTCTCACTTTTTTTTCTCTTCACGCCGCGTGATTCGTGGTTTGACAGCGGCAGCGGCTAAAAAACGAAACTTTGAGAAATTTGCGTGTACGTAGGATTAAAGAAAATAAAAATTAAAAAAACGAGCATATTTGACTGTAGTTTAGCATAAAATAAATAAGTCCCGGTTTAGTCCTTTTTCAGTCCTGGTTTAGACCTGGTTCAGTCCTGATTCAGTCCTGCTTGCAACAAAACAATCTGAAGAGCCACTTGGGAGCCAAAAGAACCTGCAGCTTTTAGTGAGCCGAGCCAAAAGAGCCGGTTCTCTAAAAAGAACTGGAATACCCATCACTAGTGTCTAGAATGTGATGCAAAAATGCCATTAAGCCAACCTACTGTCTGTAAATATGATGTAAAGAGGCAGAATAACAATAAATGTTGCCTAAATAAACCCAATTTAAAATCCACCAGAGCCAAACCTAAGTTTTTTAAACAATTCAACATTTACAGTGAATTTTTACATCACTAAATATATCGGTGATTATATCGGCTATCGGCAGCGCCAACTCCCATTATATCGGTTTCATATCAGCCACAGCTAAATCCATATCGGTCGGGCTCTAGTTTGTAATCCACTTTTTATGGCGTTGTTCTGTCAGCTTTTCCCATTTCTGACCTTTGTGGACGACTATCTTCGGTACTCTAAAAAAATCGCTTTTCCTTCTCTCGGTTAGAACAATTGGCACAGCCGTAAACTGCACAACACATCGGCATTTCCCTCCAGTCGGGTCACTTCTTGCCCTCCATCTGATTTTGCGTGTAGACAAACGTCGCCCTGTAATGTCACGTGAAACCCAGATATTCAGAATTATTATTTCCATGTAAACTCCAAGGAAAATATTTTAAGTCCAAACAATTTAATCCAGAACAATTAAAAAACATCATGTGAACGTGGCCATTGTGTTCTAACAGTGAGTTTTTTAATCATTTCAATACCAGGTTTAACATTTGTGCGTTTACCTTTTGGATATTTCGTGGCAAAGTACAGTGTGATAAAGAGTAGAGGGGTGTGCAAAAATATTGAAATATCGATATATCGTTTAATGTGATGACACAGTATCAATATTGTGGGCTGCTCTATCGATATATCACCAAGAGTATTTTTGGTTTATTTTACTAAATGATTTTGTTACAGCTACAGTTTCGTTGTTTGTTTAGTGGAAGGAAACTCGTTTGACATTTTCGCTGTTTTGAGGATTAAAATGTTTGTGTTTCATATGAACTTTGCACAAGAAGTGGTTTAACAAAGATTTTCCATGATTTAGCCTTTATTTTTTACTGAACCGTATCGAATCGAAAGCGCACTGTATCGAGGTTTGTCTCATATCAGTGACTTCTTAACAACACTCGGCCTCAGTCAACAGGGAAACGTGGCTCTTGCCCCGTCTGGGAGTATGACATCATCACATTCTAGAACCTGAAAACCTCCCAGTTCCATCAGGTTCACGGCGCCGATGACATCATACATGTAAAATTCCATAAAGCCTTGTTACCATGGCAACTCCGGAACTCAAAGCTAAACTTCAAAGCTTTGTGGGCTTTAACTCAAAGCTTTGTTTGGCCTCGGGGAGATTATAAGAGTAGGCAAATCGCAAATCACAAATCGAAAATCACATATCGCTTAACGGAAAAGGCACATTTAGCTGAGCTTGACAGAGCAAATCGTACAAAGATTTCAAACAGTAGACTTCACAGAGGAGACTTTACAGAGTAGATTTCACAGAGTAGGTCGCACTTTTTATCTGCGTAACAGTAAGTACAGCAACACTTACAAAACAACTCAATTATAAAACAAAAATGGCCAGAAATAACAGAGGAAATATACCCTTGACCTTAAACCATGACCTTAAACTAAAGAACTGTGGTCTTCGTGTGATAAAGAGTAGGGGTGTGCAAAAATATTGAAATATCGATATATCGTTTAATGTGATGACACAGTATCGATATTGTGGGCTGCTCTATCGATATATCACCAAGAGTATTTTTGGTTTATTTTACTAAATGATTTTGTTACAGCTACAGTTTCGTTGTTTGTTTAGTGGAAGGAAACTCGTTTGACATTTTCGCTGTTTTGAGGATTAAAATGTTTGTGTTTCATATGAACTTTGCACAAGAAGTGGTTTAACAAAGATTTTCCATGATTTAGCCTTTATTTTTTACTGAACCGTATCGAATCGAAAGCGCACTGTATCGAGGTTTGTCTCATATCAGTGACTTCTTAACAACACTCGGCCTCAGTCAACAGGGAAACGTGGCTCTTGCCCCGTCTGGGAGTATGACATCATCACATTCTAGAACCTGAAAACCTCCCAGTTCCATCAGGTTCACGGCGCCAATGACATCATACATGTAAAATTCCATAAAGCCTTGTTACCATGGCAACTCCGGAACTCAAAGCTAAACTTCAAAGCTTTGTGGGCTTTAACTCAAAGCTTTGTTTGGCCTCGGGGAGATTATAAGAGTAGGCAAATCGCAAATCACAAATCGAAAATCACATATCGCTTAACGGAAAAGGCACATTTAGCTGAGCTTGACAGAGCAAATCGTACAAAGATTTCAAACAGTAGACTTCACAGAGGAGACTTTACAGAGTAGATTTCACAGAGTAGGTCGCACTTTTTATCTACGTAACAGTAAGTACAGCAACACTTACAAAACAACTCAATTATAAAACAAAAATGGCCAGAAATAACGGAGGAAATATACCCTTGACCTTAAACCAAAGAACTGTGGTCTTCGAAAGCAAATTGCCAAAAAAGATGAGCACAATGAGCGGCGATGGTGGCCCTCGCCCCGGCGCGCACCGCCCCCCCACGCAACCTCCGGGGACTCGCGACCGCCCCGGCACGCCACCCTCTCTTCCCGACATTCGCCCAGGTCGACAATGACGCATTAGTGATTCAAATTTCAGCACAATCGGACTAAGCCTGTGGGTGGAATCATTTTTTAACTATTTTTTGGGGGAGTCTTTGCGCCCCTGCTGGCCAGTGGTGGAAAATGCATCATGTCCGTAATAGACTTTTTTGCTTGTCATCATGCATAGAATTTAATTTCCAAATTTGGTCCAAATCCGATAATGTTGACGTTTCATGTCTATGCTAGGGGGCGCTATAGAGTTCACAGTTCATATGTTTTATAGTGTATTATAATCAGGTAGAAATCAGGCATTAGTGATTCAAATTTCAGCATGATGGGACTAAGTCTGTGGGTGTAATAATTTTTTAACAATTTTTTGGGGGAGTCTTTGCGCCCCTGCTGGCCAATGGTGGAAAATGCATCATATCCGTAATAAACTTTTTTGCTTGTAATCATGCATAGAATTTAATCCCCGACTTTGGTCCAAATCCGATAATGTTGACGTTTCATGTCTATGCTAGGGGGCGCTATAGAGTTCACTTTTATTAAATGTCATATTTCATTACATTCAAGGCTAGATCACACAATTGTGATTTGAATTTGAGTTCTCTAGGACAATGCCTGTGGCCGTGACAGGTCACCGAAAAAACAGGAAATGAAGGCGTTTTTCGCCGGCATGCTACGGGTGAACCGTAAGGAGTATTCCAAAAAAAATTGGCAACTTCTGTGAGTTTATGTCTGTAGATGTGACATGTCAAATCTGAGCTCATTTGGACCAAACCCCGGGGACTTGAATCTTTTTGTAGACACCCAAGTCAAAATGGCGCCGAATGTTTGATCCAATATGGCCGACTTCCTGTTCGTCATAGGGTCATGCTCCAATTCATCTTTTGGCTTGTCTCATTGTTCTCTATCACTGTTCCGAATTTCGTTTCCCTGCGACAAACTTTGCCTGTCCCCACTCCCATAGGGGTCCAATTGTAGGCGGCGCTGTTGAGTCGGGTCACTTGGGTCATTGTTGCGATGCCCATTTTATCAAATTTTTCGCCGGGCCGATCGATCTGGATCCCGGTTTGGGGATTTTCCGTCCATGTTCAGGGGGTCAAAAATGCGATTCAATGTGGGGAAAAAGAAAAAAATAAGAAACCGACGAAGAACAATTAGGGGCGAGGGCGAGGGCCAAAAATAAGGGTCAAAAAGCACTTTTTAGTAGCATTCATCCGTTTGGTCTTTGCTTGATTTGTACGATCTGTTGCGCTGGCTTTCTTCATAAGTTTTTTTTTTTTTCGGTTTATATGTTAATTAAAAACAAATAGGAAGATCAAAATACTATATAAATATCTTAAATAGGACCAAGCAGACAACATATCTTTATTAACAGAAAAACTTTGGGGTCACAGATTGTAAATGTAGGAATGTCTCCACTTCATCAGCAAATTCTTCTTAGATCTTTTCCCCCCTTTTAGTTTGAAGGTTCTATTTTTTAAAAACTCATTTGATTTGTCTGTCAAAGACTTCTGTTCACCCATGAGTCACTGTGCATATCCTGGACCCCAGAAGGACATCCTGCACAGCTGGACCTCCTTCCAAGGATGATGTCAGCTGATGTAGCTTACTTAAATGTTCCTCTACAAACTGGACAAAATATTCTCGCACTTACACTGAACTTTTAGGCTACGTGCCCTCTCCCCAAACACTTCCTACTACTACTCCAAGGAAATACCATAATACATTCCCAAGTCTGACTGACAAATTTCTTGGCCATATTTTCTCCATGATTTGGCAGGCTAGTTTTGAATTAAAAGTTTTGACTTTTAATTGCATCTGTTCGATTAAATTACCTGAATTATTTGCTATTAATTAATAGTTGTAAGTAATTCAGGCTTGCTACATAGCTACTACTGAATTACCTTTCAGTGTGATATCTGTTTGCCTGACAAGCCAATACCTGTACAATGATTGATATTAGTGTGTACAAAGGTTGAGTGATTACAAATAGCTGGCAACTGTGAATAGTAATCTTATTGTGCTCATTTCATACTAAATGCTGGCTACATTTAAAGTGCAAAATGTTCTGTTCAGTGGCCTTGAATGATGCAAACTGCAGGTGCTCCATGATTTTTTATATATATACGATAGATATAACAGAAATCAACACAACATAGCCTACATTGATTTGATTATAATACCATGCTGGGTGTCATATATCAACTTTGTTTACTTCACTTTTCCAAAACTTGGGTCAATTTACCCCTTTTTCTTGTCTTTCAGGTTGAACCAGTGACCAGCTGAATAGGCGGTGTATATGGGGCGTAAAGAAAAATGCCTGACAGATCATACTCAGGGCACAACTGACACTTGCTCCGCTGGTTTCCTTATCTACCATTTTGTATCATCACGGTCAGACGGAGCTGACACTCAACCGAAAATTACCGACAAGAAATCCGCTTAGAAATGTTTAACTTTTCGTATATACCGTAGGGAAATATCATTAGAAGCGTTAACTAACATATAAGCGTGTGGATTCAGCTTTGTTGTTCAACTTGTCTCGTTTTTGTCCGAGGGCGCTTCTGTAGAGCGCTGAAGCTAACGTTGCTAAGTAGCCCAAAAATAGCCGTGGTGTTAGCTCGATGCTAACTTGTGTTGAAATGGCGGCCAACACGACACAAACAGCACCCTCAACAAACTGGTATGTCTCTTCCCTTGTAGAAAACCCAATATAAGCCACGGAAATTGTGTGCATTTAAACACACTTTGGTCTTCCGGTGATGGAAATGCCCCAATTAACTTTGTTTCTGTGGATTAGCCTTTTAGGTCACTACCTGCAAAATCCTTTTCCTGATACGTTGATTTTTTAAGACAAGGGCTGTTCCTGTTGCGTTTTTACTGTAATGTCAGATAATAAGGCAAATGAATTTAATCCTCAACTATAAATTAAGATTAGGATGACCAGAAGTTCAAAATAAAAACAAAACTGGGACATCCCCGGTTTTTTCGTGGTTGGTAATAAAATTGTAGTGCGAGTGCGTAATTAAGGAAAATTGTTACACGGAGACCATTCATGACTAACATGAGAGTCAGTATAGTCACATTTTCTTTGTGTTTCGGTTGTTTTTGAGCAACTTTTCTGCATTTTACTTAAACAAATAGCAATATATGCCTCTCTTTACAGTTGTCAAAATTGGTCAGAAATAGACACCGGGACATTTCTTGTTTAAAGCTGGGACAGATCAGTGGTTGTGCATAAATCTGCTGGTACAGGGGACACAGGGCTCAAAATTGGGACTGTCCCGGGTAAATAGGGACGTCTGGTCAACCTAGTTGAGTTGAGACCTTTTGGCCGATATTTACGTCACCAACCTCATTCATACTGGTTTATGTAGTTAGTACTTTGTGTGGAAACTGTCTACAATCTCAGACTTTGTATTTTGTGTGTGCAGGTCTTATGGTGGCAGTACTACCACCGAAGGCCCAGTTCATGAGAATCCAGAATGGGAGAAAGCAAGACAAGCTTTAGCCTCCATTAACAAAAGTCAGAGTGCGACCAAGACCACACAAGCCACTGTGACAACAGAGGTATGTGGGTAATAAGCTCCTGAAAGGATAAACTGTACTAAAATGTTAATTAAAATAGTAGTGCATTTGCTCGGTAATACTTGTAATTCAGAGGATTATCGTGGAGTATAAGATTAATCAGTGGCTTTTTTGATCATTTCAGGCCACTCAGTTTCAGCAAGGAGCAGCTGACGCTCTTCAGCAGCAGCAGTACTATCAGTGGTACCAGCAAAATCAGCAGCAGTATCCTGGATATACATACCCTTACAATTACTACTACCCTATGGCACCAGTAAGTCATGTTGTGATTATCAAATTATTTTTGCATGCTATATATATGTAAAATTATTAAATTGATCAAATCATTAGGCCTAAAACTAGATTATATAAACTTTATTTATTTTAGTATGGTGGCGCATATCCTCCAAACCAATACAATGTACCCCAAGGGCATTTTCCAGGATCTCCAGTTACAAATGGACAGGTATTAATGAATAATGACTCCACAACCAAGAAAAAAAAAACCTTCTCTTGATTTAAAAGTTTATCTAATGTTTCCATTTGTGTTTACAGCCTCCTCCAGTTCCTGGTATTGAAGACCAGTCGGCCAATTTCTCTTCTCAGCCCCAGCCTCCTCCCCCGTCCACTCCCCAACCACCCCAAAGCCCCTCTGAAAAACCCCCTCCTCCCCCACCTATTCCTCCCCCACCTAACACCCAGTACCCCCACCCCCCTCCCCTAATGCCTACAATCCACCAAACTCGATGTCATATCAACCCTCTGACTCTAACCAGATGCAGGTATACAATCATTCACAGGGAAGGCCTGGTTATGGGCAGGGCTTTCAAGCTCAGAACAAGTATCAGGCTTCTGGTGCTCCACAACAGCAGCTGGGTCAGTTTGGCCCTGGTGCTGGAAGAGGAGATGCCAACAAGGCCAAAAATCAGAAGCAAGGACAGCAACTGTGGCACCGCATGAAACGTAACTCGCTGTTCCCTCTCAATTTAAATGTATTATGTGTTTTTAGTATATATAACAACTTCAATGTTTTTTACAGAAGCCCCAGGGACTGCTGCTCTTAAATTCAATTTTCCCAAAAGACCATATCAGGTTCCATCCTCCTCAGCCAATCAGGCGTTTTCCTCTGGGGACCAGGCCTCAGGAGTGAACCCGTCTCCTTCACCTGCTGCTGCCAGTGCAGCACCTGGAGCTGCCCAACCTCGGTAAGAGGTCGCCGCCCTACATTTCAGTCTGTGTACTACAGTCTAAGTAAACATTGCTTTATAATTAATTGAACCTGTTTTGTTTTTTCTGCAGACCACAGGACTGGCCCCAGGCCATGAAGGAGTATGTGCAGCGATGCTTCACTGCCTGTGAGTCAGAGGAAGACAAAGATCGAACTGAGAAAGTGTTGAAGGAGATATTACAGGACCGGTTAAAGGATGGCTCTGCATATACCATAGACTGGACCAGAGAGCCTTTGCCTGAGTAAGTGTATCCTGTATTGAAATGTGACCCCTCAGGTGTTGTTAATAAAAGTTAGTGACTAGAGCTTTTTTCATTGTAGGCTCAAACCCAAATCTCGTTGGGAGACCCAACGGTCGTCAGAAAGCTCTGTTGGTCGTGGTGGAAGCACAGGAGCTGCCTCCAGAGGAAGAGGACACAGATTAGGAAACTACAGAAACATCTTCACTCAGAGAAGTCCTTCGTCCAGTTCTTCACAGTCCTCCTCTCGCTCACCGTCCCCCTCTCATGGCCGTTATCGGGATCGCAGCAATCAGAGGCACAGGAGAAGGTAATATCCTTTTTTGTAATAGTAGTATCATACCTTCATCGATTTTTGCTGTTCATTGTGTTTTTTTTAACATGTTCTTAATGTTTACAGTGACTCTGGCTCACAATCGGATAGCAGCTTGTCTAGTGACCTCCGGCCACAGCTGTCAAGGCGAGGACAGAAACGTGGTCGTGGAAACAGCAGAGACCGCGGGCGGGGCCGAGGGGGCAAAGCCAACAGAGGCAGAAGGTTCAGTGTTTTTTGGAAATGCTTGAGACTTGCATTATGCTTAATATTTTGAAAACTAATCTGTTATGTTTTCACATGTTTAACAGAAACATGGAAGATAGTTCCCCTGTTCCTAAGAAAAGGAAAGGAGGAAATGCAGGTCTTGATTTCCATGATCCAAACCGTGAGGCCAAAAAGCAGAGCCGAGCGGCACGTTTCCACAAACAGCTCCGGTCTGAGCCTCTGGTGCTCGCTATCAGCGCCCTCGAGCTGCCTGATGGGACACAGGAGGGGCTCAACTGGGAAGACTGTCCTATTGTGGGAACATGTCAGGACATCACTAAACCCTATTTAAGACTGACCTGTGCCCCGGACCCCTCCACTGTGCGCCCCGTTCAGGTTTGATCTTAAATGTGTGTAATGATGTTTTTATATAACTGTTACTCAGGCACTAACCTGCTGTGTGATCCAGGTGCTAAGAAAGTCTCTTGAGGCTGTAAAAGCAAATTGGAAAAACAACCAAGACTACGCTTATGCGTGTGAACAAATGAAGTCTATTCGACAGGACCTTACAGTGAGTTTGAAGTGTTTTCATAAAGATGGTAAGCCAGTTGTCTTGTTTTGTTAAAAAACAATTTCCTTGTTTGTTTTTTCAGGTCCAAGGAGTTCGTACTGACTTCACAGTGGAAGTGTACGAGTGTCACGCTCGAATTGCTCTGGAAAAAGTGAGTCATTCTTTTGTTTTGACTTTTCACGTTTTATTTTATAGATTTATTTACATCCTTGTTTTTTAGGGTGACCATGAAGAGTTCAACCAGTGTCAGACACAGCTGAAGGCTTTGTATAAGGATAATCCCTCTGAAAACATTGGAGAGTTTACAGCATATAGATTGATATACTATATATTCACAAAAAATTCTGGGGGTAGGTTGATTTGATTGAAAAGCTTCATGGGCTTTTTTAAACCTGTAGATGGAATAACCGTCTCCCATTGTGTTGGCAGACCTCACGACAGAGCTGGTTTACTTGACTCCGGCGCTCAGGGCAGATGCGTGTGTGGCACATGCTCTGTCCCTCCGTGCCGCCTGGGCCTTAGGAAACTACCAGCGCTTCTTTAAACTTTATCTCCAAGCTCCTCGCATGGCTTCATACCTCATTGACAAGTTTGTAGAGAGGGAAAGAAAGGTCGCTCTTCGGGCCATAGTCAAAACGTAAGTTGTGTTCTCTGAAGTAATGTTAAAAATCTCAAATTTATCCACTGAAATTTCTGTGTTTTTCTCTTGCAGGTTTAGGCCTGATTTGCCTGTGCAGTATGTTCAGTCCACTTTAGGCTTTGATTCTTTAGACTCCTGTATGGAGTTCCTTACTGGGCTTGGTGTTGCCTTCGCTGCCTATGACCCCGAAAAGATAGACTGCAAAGCTAGCACAGCCATTCTAGCTGCCTCGTGAGCCAGGGTGTTAGTGACCCCTATGGACCCTTAGTATTATATGCACTGCACTTCAGATCTGTAGACCAGCTGACACCCGAGCCTGCCCCACTTGTACATAATGTCCTGTCCTCACATTAGGGTTAGGGCGAGGCTGATACAAAGTCAACACAACACATCTATCATTTTTCCACAAACTACGGTTATTGTCACTTAGGAAACCACTTCTACTCAGGTGATAGGAGATCCCCAGACTATGTCAGAGAGAGCAGCTCAAGTGTCCTGATTCAGTTAACCACCATTAGATGTCAAGCTAACAGTGTTCTGTTATGTTTTTCCTTCCCCAAGTCAACAGCTTCAACATGTGAAGATCCAAGCCTCTAAAGGGAATACAATCTAATCAAAGACTGTTAGATAATTGATATATTTAAGCTTTATTCACCTGATGAAGATCGGATGGTTTGTATGTTCAGGCTGATACCATGTCGTAATATTTCTACTTCGAACCAGGAAAAATGAAAGGACTGAGCTTTAAAGAATGGACAAATAGTGTTGAAGAAGATCTCTCCTCACTGAAGCAGTTTGCCTTGGAATAACCTCTCCCTCAGGTCTGAATGCAGCAGTCACCTTTGCAGCTGATTATCGGGGTGTTACTCCTCCAGCAGTGGAAATCACGACCAAATCGTGTTAAAGAGCTTTGCTTAAAGTGACGACGGCGAACCTAAAGACCCAGGTCGTGTTTGAAGACGGGATCCTCACGTGGTTTGTATGCAGCAAGCTGCTCGGTCAACTCTCTGGTAAGATGAAGACTCCACTGCACCAGGAGGGATGGAGCGTTTGCACTTTGACAGCTGTCAAAGGGAAAGGATCATAAATCGGCTTTTAGAAAATAAATCAGTGAATTGATACATTTTAGATTTTGGCCAGTGCTTATGATCTAAAATTTTATTCTCAAATCTTCAGTATCTGAAATTAAGATACCAACTCATGATTTGTTTTTCCACAGTAAGTGAAATTGGGCCAAGTTTGTATAATATAGCCATTTTGGAACTATTGGGTGACAAATCTGACCCACGATACAAAGTATTTTTATTTGATCTTCATTCAAATCTTTGTAAAAAGTTTTTGTATCTTTTGCCAGAAGTATTTAGAGTAAAGGCGAGTTTGTAAATTGTGATATTCAGTTTTGTAGATCAGGTGTTTTTGGGGTTTTGTTTCAGACCTTGGCACCTCAGTTAAATATGCTGTGGAAGGGTAAATTTAAATTACTTTTTTTTTCACTAAACTGACACAAAATGTTATCTTTTACATTGGAAAAGACTACAGAACTAGTCCATCTGTAGATATGAAAATATTGCGACACTGTCGAAACCTGTGTAACAAGACCTACTGTCAGCTGTAACATTTGACAACTGACTGACCCTGTTTTCTCTCACTCCTGTACCCTTCCCCCTCCTCACCCTCCTCACTCTGTCACCAGAGCTCCGTCTGCTGCAGCAGCCGTGGAGCTGTGAGCGGTAAAGCCAAAGCTGCGGTCCAGACACTGCCGCAGAGAGCCAACTGTGAGCCAGTCAAGCCCAGTGCTACAGAAACTAATACGAGGAAAGCTTTATAATGAAATGTTACATTTACTGTTGCTAATCCTGATTTTTATTATTGTGTGACACCACTTATTATCTTTTCTGTTTGTTCAGATGCACTTTTGTTTGAGTCCTACACTTTTGCTTTCAAACATTGTCTTTTTGTCATTGTTTTAGTACGTGGACGCTAATCTGTTTTAGTGAAAGTAACATATCTAATGTTTAAGCTAGGTTTAGTCAAAAGTGTAATTGTGGCTAAAATATGTATCTGGATAAGCAGAAAAACATGTGAAGTTTCTATAGTTTGACTAAGTCTGCCCCTCCACAGACCCTAATGCTCTTGTCATGGTTTTAACAGTTGTTGGCTTGTGGCTCTCCACCCTTACAAACGCTGTCAGATGGCTCATGTTTCAAAAGTTGATTCCCAGGTTTTTTGTTACAGTTGTAAAGTATTTTCTTGATGCTCAAAGTGTTTTTCAGTTTTCTGTGCTTCATCCTTCCTTTAGTTCCATCAGTCTGTAACTCCTCCTTACGACCGCTCCCTCTCTAGTTATATTTATACATATATTTTGCTTTTTCTTTCCCAACTCTCCTCTTCCTCTTGCTTCCTTTGCATGTCCTCTTTCCCTTTCCCCCTCTTTCTCATCCCATACTTTGTTGCCATGTGCGGCGCATCACTAGTTGTGTATCGTCCTCCGCATTTTTGCTTTGTGGTTTTTGTTGCAGCTCACTAACGCCTAAAGGTTTACCCCCTCTCCCGTTCATTTCTTAGGCCTCCACAGAAAAACTGCCAGCTTGTAAATATGTAAATATAAAATTTTTGAAAATGAATAAAAATGCAACTATATATAAGAGTATCCAGCGTTGCTTTTATTGACGGTGATTTTAAATACATTTATTCTAGTCACATAATGGGTAATAAATAAAGGTTAACTTAGATGATTTAAAGGTTGTTGCTGAATAAGTAGTGTATATAAGCCAGAAACCTTATAAAAGTTGTAGGAAAAACAGTATAGACAGGGATGTGAGGATAATGCATTAAACAAGTGTAATGTTTCAGATAATTGTGAACAAACTATAGTTGTAAAAATATTAGAAGCAAAATTATTTAAGTCTAACCTACTCAAACTTAAATATAATGTTGCTTCTTATCAGTCAAAATTACTTTACATCCCCAGTTAGAGTAAAAGCCATCCATGCAAGAGCAGTAAGACAATTGACAGATGAAGCATGCACAAGTAGATCTAATTTAAATAGGAAATTAGAAGGCATGCAAGATTAAAATGGAGATAAAGCTTTAAAAAGCTAGTAATAGAAATAGTTTAATTTAAAAAAAAGTTTCAAGAACAGAGAAAGCAGATAAAATATATTGTAGATGGAAAAAGAAAAGTTATAGACTCAGTAGGAAAAAGAAATTATGAAGAAACAAAACACTACATTTAGAATAAAGTGGATAGAAAAAAATGAATTGAAATGAGAATTATAAAAAAAAAAGGCATGAGTGGACTAAAGATAAGAGTAAAAGAAAAAGCTTTACAAATCTACAAATAGTACAACACAAGGGAGGTTAAAAGAAGAAAGAAAGATGAAGGAACTGAATACATGATTTTGATTTTAAATTCCTTAAACATGATCTAACTGTGTCCCCATTTATGAGGTAAACACTTCCAAATCAAATATAACTTTTACTTGTAACAGTTGTATAATGCTACATACAGTTCCTTTAATATGACAGCAGGAAAAATGAGAAATAGAAAACCATGAAGAAACAAAATAAAGTAAAGTAATAAAGAAACTGTGTATCATTCGTTTTTCAATATAAAACCAAAAATAAGAAAATGAAAAAACTATTTTCTTCATTATTTGTTTCCAAAACCAAAATGAAAAAACAGATAATGAATAAATTTTTCAGTTTTCGATTTTGTGTTTAAATGAATAATGGAAAGGACTTAGACCAGGACCAGACCAAGACTAAGCCTGGGACCAGGACCAGGACTGAAACCGGGACTAAGACCGGGACCGGACCAGAACTAAGACCAGGACCAGGCCGTGATTGAGACAGGGACTCAGACCGGGACCAGACCAGGACCAGGCCGTGATTGAGACAGGGACTCAGACCGGGACCAGACTGGGACTGAAAACGGTTTAGTCCTGGTTCAGTCCAGCATCGCAGTTTAAGTCACGTAAACGGGAAAGTCATTATCTGTTTTTTTCCATTATTCATTGGAGACAAATAATGAAGAAAACTGTTATTTTTTTGTTTTCTTATTTTTGGTTTTATATTGAAAAACTAATATATGAATGATACACGGATTATAAAGCTTGAATGGAGTGGACAGGGAAAAAATGAAAGAATTTTACAAGCCAAGAAGGGAGTAAAGAAAAGTAAAGTCATGCAAGACAAGAAAACACAGCAAAATGTAACTAACTACATTTGTAAAATCACTGAAAATTGGAAGAAATTGTATTGAACATGATATATTCTTTAAACTTATAATATATTGCTTGTTTTTTTATGCCTTTCTGACTTCTGATCTAAGTAGAAATAAGAATAATATAAACCTACTAACCAACTAACTTCATTTAAAAATCACTTAGCTTCCATATTCAAGTAATTATAACTAATGTGTGTATTCTATTTTTACAGTGAAATATAAAGCAGGTTATGATATGGTCAAAAGTAAAGGCATGCATGCAAAACCAGGAAAGAAATTTAAGAAAAGTTTAAAATAAATATGTAAAGAGACATTCACAACAGCAGGAAAAGACGCAAAGAAAAGAAGCAGCACACACAGACTAATACATAATAAATACTAGAGATTGGAAAGGTTAAAATGAAAGGTTAAACACAGAGGAAAAAAGTTTGAGTAGAAAAGACAGAATCAATAAAAGGCAGAAAAAGGAAAAAGGAGAAATAGTTTATTCAAAGGTAAACATCACAGCAGGAAAAGTGCAACAGAAACTAGAAAGAAACTAGAGATTATAAATAATATCAGAAACAGAATTTAAACAGAAAGAAAAATATTATACCCAAAGAAAAAAAAGACCAGAGGTGGGTAGAGCAGTCAAGTAAGAAGAGGTGATGGTAATCGTAGTAAGTTGTGATTCAAGTAAAATTAAAGGTGCATTGCGTAACTTTTCAGGTAGTAGATATGTTAATAAATTTACCTATCTTGCATTTATTTAATTGCAGGTGTTTTAATTACACAAAATTACAGATCTCTCCACAGATCTGATGTGTAACTTGGCTTGAAGGCGCAACAATCTTGTCTCCATGGTGACAGATAGATTTTAACGCGATACTGTGGAACATTCAAGCCAAAGCAACAACTCAGTGAGGACAAAAATAATGTATTTGTTGTAAATACTCAAATAAGCTACCATCTAATATCTGATTTATGTTTTAGTAAGGATGTAGTCTGGATAATAGAGTGTAAAATCTGATAAATAAATAAATAAATAATTAGCTTAACTTAAGAAACACAACCTTAAAATCCTTTACTTCAAAATAATAGGACTATTACTCAAGTTATTTCTACCCACCTCTGGTAAAGAAGACCGAAAAGTTTTGCACAAAAGATCAGAAAATGATTTAAACAGTAAAAGTAGGTAGGTGAAAGTAGGAAATAAATGTGGCTTAAATACAAAACTGAATAGCAACAATGAACCCTGTGTGAGGAGCTGAACGTTTGAGAGGTAGATTGTAAGAAAAGGCAAAAGACTGTCCCAGAGCGGACATCTGCACAGCAAAAACATACCACCATACCACAACATGTTTTTTTACAGTGTGACAATAAGTCTCACAGTAGTTTGCAAAGGGATGGGCGACATAACAATATTACCAAATCAAGATATATCAGTTTTCAGTGGATTTCTATTAAATGAAACCTTACGCTCAAATATGCCGTTAACTTCCCCACCCACTCCTCCTATTGGTCAGCCTTTGTCATAGTATCTCCCAGATCACTTGCACATACATACAACATCAACATTGAGACTAAACTGGGACTAAACCTGGATTAAAGCAGGGCTACACTAGGACTAGAACAAGACCAAACCAGGACAAGCACCCTTCGTTAACACTTATTCCAAAAAAAAAAAAAAATCCTACATATACAGTATAATATTATGAATTTTGTTGTTGCATCGCCCGCCCATAATTTGGCACATCTATAATATTAGTTCTAAAACCAACTTTTTTAAATAACATGAATTTAAGTAACTATAAATATTGTACAAAATGATTTTTCATCTGCATAGTTGTCAGTAGTCAATATGGCTCCAACATATTTACAACTCTCGCCCCTTAAAAAAACACTCAGAGATACAAAGCCTTTGTCCACATGTCCTGAGCTTAAGGACCTCCAGACATCCAGACCCTCCAGACCTCCAGACCTCAGACCTCCAGACCCACGCCCATGAATCTCAGCCTTTTGTTTTCAGTACGGGGTGAAGCGGTTGTAGCCTCCTCTGTACAGACTGGCCTGTTGACAGAGGAACAGTTCCAGGTGTCATAAGTGCTTCACAAAATAAATGTAATTGATACTTCACAGCTGATGTCGCCAAGAATCTCTGGGGGTGTGATGCTAACTACAGGCACTGCTTTGTTTGTGGCTTTGTTAGACTTTTATTTTATTTTAAATTTAACACAACCCGTGAGCTGATTCATCCTGTTTAACAAATAAAATTCCAGTCACAAGCTACCATTAACTAACAGTTTTAAGTTAGTCACTCTCACTTTTTTATTGAAAATCAAACACTTAAACGGGACCATGAACGCTCATATTGATCATAGGCTCCTGAAAATGTGTTATTTAAATCCATTTGGTATTTTTTTATTGAGTTTTCAGACAATAAATAACACTTTTTGGCAGTGTGTGCATTGCGTAGCCATAGAACCTCCTGAACATTCTGCCATGGAGATACATGTAGAACTCCCCAGAGTGATGTTACTGCAAAGTATCTGTTGAATAATGTCGCTGCCATTAGTATGTTTTGACACAACTCACCATTGTCCCAACTCCATATGTTGTTGTGGGTCCGACTGAGTGATGATAAGGGTCTGCAGCTGTGGCATACACACGCCCATATCTGAAGAAATATAATACTCAGTCATTCTATTTTTATTTTATTTACTAATTAGTGTTCCTCATATATATATATTTACCCATATCTTTATTCTAATCACATAAAAAAAAATGCTATGCACTTTTGTGTGCCCATGCATCTTGCTCATGAATACAACAGCAGTGTAAACTTGAACAGGTTGTAAACTTTCAGAGCCACCGTCACAACCAAATGACAGTAACTTTCATTTGTTTTAGTTCAAGCAAAAGGATCACCCACCCATCACTGTAGGTCGCAGCTGCAGACGCTGACTGGGCCACTCGATAAGCAGCAGGATAGCCCCCCTGTATGCAAAATATAAAATGAAAATGAAGACTGAATAGAAAAAAAACAGATAATAATGTTTAACCTATAAGCTTTGTGTTGTGCCTGTTTTGTCATAATAACTAAAATATCTGGACTGCATCAGAACCTCTTATACAGTTATTCTTAATGTAATAATATCAATATTTCACAATTGGTGAAATATTTGTAACTTACATAAACCTCTGCTCCGTACAGCCCGTCCTGATACACCACTCTGCAAAATATTAAAGTCAATATTAAATCCTGTCCCAAATGAATCAAGCTGATCACTAAAGTCTAGTCTGGATCCTATATCTGAGTGTTCTCACCCGGGGTACGCAGGCAGGGCAGCAGGAGTGGCAGCAGCAGCAGAGCGGATGGTGTTGTAGACGGCCCGTCCTCGGCCTCGGAGCGCAGACCCTCGATAGGCTAATGTGGGCGTGGCCACTGGGTACGGGAAACTGGCAACTACACAGTCAAAGCAGCACTCAGTTACAATTCAAATACAAAATGTCAGGATTCATCAATGTTTAAAATGTTGTCAATGTTGCTAAAAACAGAACTTTGCACACACTTTGCCACATACTGGCATTTTGCGTGTTTATTTTGGCTACTAACAAATTTAAGTTCCACTAGCCACTTTGGTCAGGTGATTTTATGCATAAAGTTCTAATGATTCAACAAATGTAAACCAGATTAAATTAAAAATTGCGAGAGCTGATCCCTATCATAACAGACAAAACAAATGTTAACATAACTTAAGAGCTTTAACCTTTGACTAATCACATTAGTCAAAAGATGGGGCCAATGAGTAAACAGAGGTCCAATAAACCTATATGTAAATCATAAAAAAGTGCAGTTGTGTCATTTCTGCTTACAGTAAGTCTAATGTTGAATGTCTTCAGCCCCCAAATAATAAAGATGAAATAACAGAACTGACTTTGTGACATTTGTGTTCAAATAGAGGAACATACCTGTGTAGAGCTCAGGTGCATACATCGCTCCCATCACAGGATTAATCTTCCAACCTGAAGCTGCAGGAGGCAAATATTCTGTTAGAGTTTATACTAGAGTTTAAACCAGAGCCCAGATAAAAAGACAGAAAAGACAAAAGTCACCTGACAGTTCTCCATTCACAAGAGCAGTCTGTGGCTTCTTGGTGACGACTCTAGCAGTGGCATTATTTACCTTTGAAGAACAAAAGAACGAAAAAATATATTTTTCTGTAGGAATGAATATTTTATAGCATTATTGATTGTATATGTGTGTTATGTCTTTATTTATATAATAATATTTTTTAAGTAAATTAACATGACCCTACGAGAGCACTGTGTAAAAATGTGTACATATACACAGCCAGTTATTCATACTTTTTTTTTAAATAGTTGTAAAAAAAAGATTATCCTTCAATAACAGTATAATACTATATTTAGATAATATTAAACTAATACAAAATGTTTATTGTTGTTACCTCAATCTTTCTCCCTTCCACAATTGTTCCGTTTAGTTTTTCTCGTGCACGGTCGGCCTCAGTCGCACTCTCGAAAGTTACAAAACCAAATCCCTGCCAAAACATGAATTCCTTAAGTTTTTCAACACACCACTTGTACTCAGAACATGAGGAGGAGGTTATCTCACCTTTGACCCTCTCTCATTGAAGATTATTTCAACATCGAGGATTTTACCAAATTGCTGAAAGTAGAAAACATGGTATCACTTTGACTGCATTGCCCTAATACAAAAGTTATGAGTGCACAGTCTATGGCCTTTACATTGAAAAAAAAGACTTGAATTCAGAATCTGGTTTTGAATAGGTTTTACAAGATTTGTCTTATATTATTAAACTTTCTTCAATGTACTCTTATTATTACTTAGTATTATGGTGGACAGTTGTACTTAATAGGCAGATAATAATGTGATCATTTCATTTTCTATTTCTGTTATCAAAAAAAGTTTTAAATAAAGATATAATATAAATTACACTGAAGTCAAGTTAAAAAAAATGTAAGATATGAGATTGATGACGGCGGAGACATACCCCAAACATCTGGCGGAGGTCAGGGTCTCTGAAGCGAAATGGGATGTTGGACACATGGAGGCGTTTTGGCTGCGCTTTACTGGAGCCCTCCTCCTCACTGCCACTTCCTGCCCCACTGCCGGCCCCTGACACCGGGAGGGAGGGGTCCGAGCTCGCGGGGGTCAGACCGTCCTCCTGGTGCCAAACAAGAACAGAACAAGTGAAGAGAGGAACAGATGAGAATAACACAAAGATGATGCACTGGAAGAAATGAATATCTACATGAGTTAAACATGACTTCAGATGTCAGATTATTTATCAAATATATGTCTTGTTTTGAGTAATTTTGCCTCGTTAATATTTACTTAATCACTCTGGATGTCATCAGTGTATATTTTTCTTAATCTAACCAAAATTATTTGAGAGTTTGTCAGAGAAGAACTTTCATTTGTTAAGGTCAGCAGATTGACCCCAGCATGGGTGAGCACATACAGCTGTTGTATCTTTAGGCAAGACCCTTCACCCACTGTGCCAAGAATGACTGTGCTCGTTGGATGGGCTGATGGTGCAGATTGGCAGCCTTGCTTCTGTCAGTCTGTCCTAGTGCAGCTGTGGCTTCAGTAGTAGCTGTTACAGAAATTCCCTTTCTGTGGTGTACTGAGCCAGACTGGACTGCATTAGACTGGAACGGACACTATCACTATCACACTGTCTCTGGGTGTTTGTAGTGTGCCCCATAGTGTGAAGTGGATAATGACTACAGCGTAGGGCTTTGAGAGACTTGTAAAGCAATAAAATATATATACATGCTATGATTATTACTAGGGACGTCACAATAACCGAAATATTGTGATAATGTATCGTCAAAAGTCTCACAATAATATCATGGGCTGTCACAATATATCAAATTACAAGTTCCTTTGCTTAAATGCATGGTTTTATAGTAGCAACAGCTTATAAACATCGGAAACTACATTTCCCATGATTCATTTCATTCCAGACAACATGAAGTTATATGTTTTTTACTTGAATACTTGGAATTATGATGGTAATAATTCACACCAAAATCTTGTTATGGTATTTTAAAAGCAAAAAAGTGTTCCATCTACAATTATATCAGCCTCTTCAAAATATCACAATAAATATCGTACCGTGAGATTTGGATATCGTTACATCCCTAATTATTGTAAAACAAGACAAATATTGGATAAATATTCTGAAGTCAAGTCATTTTCACTCAAAGATATTAATTCTGCAGTGTGTGAGAGAAAGAGGAATAAAATAAGAAGAAAACAGAAAGTCAAGTCATTTTCCTGTTTTGTTTTGCAGAAGCATCGCAAGACATTAAGCAAAAACTGATCATGAAGTTGTGTGATCCAAACCAAAGAGCATTCAACAATCAGTGGTCCTTCTCAGGCAAACGTGAGGAGGCGTGGCTCCGATTTAGTGAGGCATTTTGAACACATGCCCAATAATAACACACAAATTAAAAAGAGTCCTAGAAGATGGTTTACAAAACAGTTAAATTAAACATATAAATTAAAAACAGGTTCACATTTGAAAAAGTGTGGTTGAGTGGCTAAGCTCAGTACAATAAAACAGTCAATTTAAACATGCACCCACTAATGTGTCAAAACATTCACTATCCCACAATGCACCACGATGCTAGGGCTGAACACTAGGGCTGCACGATATGAGAAAAAAGTGGGATTTCAATAACTATAGTAAATATTGTAAAAATAAAATAATAATCTTAATATACCACTTTGACAGAAAAAGTGACGTTGGACAAAAAACAAACAAAATGTCAAAATGAAAACCTTAAAAGAATAAACAAAAACACAACTTTAAAGCTACCTTCTGCAATTTTTTTTTTTTTTTTTTTACCAGTAGATGCAGATCTCCCCTCGCCTGACCTTTGCTTTCTTCAGACTGCGGTAACAATAATTACAGATGGTGATTTTCTGACAAAACATGACTAAAATTGTAAGTGTAAAACTGTTAAATCTCTGTAAATAATGAAGAACAACAACTGATTTGCAATAATTTCGTTAAGAACAGTACACAGATCTTGCATCAGCCAATTGTGTAATATATTGTGCAGCCCTACTTTACACACTGTTTGTTTGTATTTTACGGAAAAAATGAATAATCTTAATAATTAATAATAAATGAAGTGTAAAAAGTTACTTGTGAACAGAACTGAGCTTTGGCAGCAAAAAGAAACAAGCAGGAAAAAGCAATGATGTAAAAAAGAGGAATGAGACACAGTGAAGAGTGAACTACAGTAAAGTGCATGAAGCTGGAGAAGAGTCTGGGCCACGGTGCTGCTTTTCTGGCAAAGGTTAAAGGTCAAGTGTCAAGTGGCGCCATTAATAAGTTTGTGACAGAGAGAAAGGGAAAGTGGGAGAGATGTTCACACAGGGGTGCTTCACAAACATAATGGGACGCAGCCGCTGTATTACACTACGCTGACGAGCCGCGGCTGGAGACAGCAGCCATCACATCCGTCCACACACAAACAGGCAGTGATGGGGCGGGGTCAGGGGGCTAGGGGCGGGGTCAGGGGTCACGATGCAGTACAGTGCTCTGGACCTGTGCGAGACTCTGAGCAGGACGACGACCTCTCAACTTTTCCAACGAAAATCAGCAGCGACCCAAGTTTGTCAGAGGCTCTAGTGATAAAATATATAAACGGGGCCACAGGTGTGAAAGGGAGCAGCAGTGAGCTGCAGAGACTGAAGTCAAGCTTATGTCTGTTACACAAAATCTCATACAGCCAAATGTTTCAGAAGAGGTCATCTGGACAATGTTTTTAAGCTCAATACATTTTGGCTGCACTCCAAAAGTCACAAAAACAAGCTTAAAAACATTGTCCAGATGAAAACCTTTGAAACATTTGAGACCATAGATCACTCTTGATGAATGAGGGATTACATCGACATGATATTTTTCTGATGAAATGGTTGAGTAAACAGAAAGTAACTATACCATTAATTATGCACAATAAACATACACATTACATTTAAAAACATTTCACATTTTAAACCATACAGTATTTCTAAGGACACCCGCTTCATCTGTTTCCTTACCATGAAATGGACCCCGTGAGAAGAAGAAAGTGCCTCTGCACACGCCCGTACATGGACACACATGACACTATGGAGGTGGCTCTAAATATAGAGGAAACTCTAGTCTGGTCCTGATGAACATCATCTACCTATGGTCCTCAGGTCAGGTTGTGTTGGGGCAGTCCTGTGGGACCAGGTCTTAGGCCCTTACCGTGTTGGCGGAGCCCAGGCTCTCCACAGCCTCGTGCTGGGGGCCCTGGTACACTCTCAGAGGGGGATGCTCGGGGTACTCCGAGCTGCTGTGAGGGGAGCTGAAGTCCAGAGCCGGCAGCCGTCCCGCAGAGGTAGGTGGTCCCTGCCCTGGAGGGGGGTATGAGGGGGGCGGGGCATAGACCTGGGGCAGAGATGGGTCAGCGCTGCCGGCCTCCTGAGAGGGACCCCCCTGGAAGAGAGAAGGAGAATTTTGAATCTAAAATGGGATCAGAGCACTGTCTAAAAACACACTGTGATGATCCAACTCTTTCAGTCCAAGTGTCTCCTATATCCCACCTGACCACAGCACACACTCTGCACAACCATCACCACTAAACTGCCATGTTCTTTCTTCACGATTAAATTAGGAAATAGCAATGATATGTGGTCATAGATTACTTTAAAGAGACATAGGAAGAACAATTTTAACAGCACAAACCAATCTAAGAATACCAAATAATTTTACTCATAAACTAACAGTTAACTGTGACTCCAACATCCAAAAACAACATCCAGTCCGATATTTAATCATTTAAATGCATTGTCTTACCTCTCCTGGGCCTTCAGCCGTGTCTGATGCCCTGTCCCACAGCTGCTGCATGTTTAAACCAGCTGACCACCCGCCCCCTGCAGCAAAAGTTCTGCTAATTGACCAATCAGATCGCAGGATAGCTGAACCAAAAGGTGCGTGACAGCTGTGGTCATCTGTATCCGTCAATCAACCTTTTAACACCAACCTCCTGTCCCAAACGTCATTCACTTTCATCAAAATCAACAGCCAAGGCTAAAACAGAAGATATAAAGTCCCCTCTTCATTTATATTTACTTACACTACAATATAGTTTTATAAGTACATAATAAATCTAAAATATATGTTGTATTGTAGCCTTTATTGTGATCATCTTTATTTTGTCTGCCAGGCATATAGCACTCCCAAAACATGCACCGTAGGTAAAATCATCCAGCTAAGGTAGTCCTGACTAAGACTAGCTCAAGATCTGGAATCAAATTAAAATTCTCAAATCTGGGTCCACTGTGCTACTGCCCCAGCGAACTTTGAAGGATGGGTCAAATTTCCCTTTACCTTAAAACACAGATTAAAATGAAATCTCGATTCTCACCTGCAAGTGCAAATAACAAATGTATTAATATGGTTTTAAAGTGTCCTTAATATTGCTTTTATTGTGTGGTGGTTTAATTTTGATGAAGAAAATCGAGAATAACACTTTTCCACCAGAATGCCTTTTTTATCTCCAGACACATATCAGAGTTCAGCTCTGGTCATCGTCTCGGTCAGGGCACTGCTGATTGTTCACAGACTTCACTATCAGGGCAGAGCTGTATTGGACTGCTGGACTGTATAAAAACGTGAGAGTGTGATATCGCCCATAGAGTTCAGCTCCAGTCAAACGAAGCTCACAAGGCTAATTTGGAGCAAACAAAAAGGCAAAATAAAAACACCAGAATCATGTAAAACCAAAATGACGACCCTGACAGCAGCAGTTATGGAGAGAAGGGTGACAGTTTTCCAATACAAAGTGATTTGGAGTCGGAGTCGAAGCCAGAAGCTTGCCCGTGCACATTTCCTATTTGGAATGTGTCAGCTAGTGGGTTAACTATGTCCATTTATATATATAGTGGGGTAGAGTGACATAAACATTACTGCTCACTAACACGCTGAGGAATGTTAATAGTAATACTTTTATTGTAACTAAACACCTGAGATCCTTTTTTGTTGATTTTTTACAATGAATGTGTGATTATGACACAAACATCTATTACTATTACATAACTGTATCTGAAAATATGTTGTTAAAGGAACAGTTTTTAGTCAAAGCATAGACTTAGATAAAAGCATGTGTGATTTTTTGACATTTTTACTGCATCCTGTCTATGACAAACAACAAAACTGACTCATATTTGGTTTGTTTTTTTTCCATGGCTATGATGTTGCACAGTATGACATAAAACTTATCTATCTCCACTGAGAACGATTCCAAGTATGGTTTTAACTTTTAACTTTCTATTTCCATGGAATCATGCAGCTGACGTTCTCCGTCCAAGTCACATACTGGATCTTTAATGCATTAAAGACACACTGTTAAGCAATCCCAGACGCAGAGTCCGTCTCTCCTAGGCCGTTTTTGACTCCCATTTGCTTCCTGTATCGTACTCCACTTCTTCAGCTGTCATTTTGAGGTTAGAGGTCAATGGCTCAGAGCCAGGTGCATGCTGGGACAGCTGCTTCAGGATTTACACTCACAGGACACTGACTGCAGATGTGGTTTTAACAGTCAGAGTATAAATAAAATCAACTCTGCAACTCAAGTCAAGATACAGGCCTGTGTTTCTTTAACAGATAACAGGATGGACAGAGAAAGTGACGCATCATTCATAAACCTTGTGTAATAGCTATTACAAGGTTACATATACATACACATACACATACACATACACATACACATATACATATACATATACATACACATATTTGTTAAATATATTGTGATGTGTGAGCTACTGTGTCCAAATAATTTCTCTTCTGGATCGATACATTTTGTCTAAGTCTAAGTCTATATTATAGTATATTATATTATATATATTATACACTACCAGACAAACTGTCAAATTTTTACTACTTTTTACATTTTCCAAAATTGAATTATGTATCAAAGATTTTTTTTTCCTTTTTTTTATGTATTCAAATCATCAAAGTAGCCACCCTTTACTTTGCTGAGAAATAGTTAGAAGTTAGGAGTAATAGTTATTTCCCTTGTTTTCTTTATTACATAATTCCATACACCTTGCCTCATAATGTTTTCTTTATATATGGTGTGTCCAAACTTTGACTGGTTGCATTTTTGCAAAAAAAATTATATATATATATATATATATATATATATATATATATATATATATATATATATATATATATATATATATATATATATATATATATATATATATATATATATATATATATCATTGTATGATATGTTTTAGGTTTGTTTGTTATTGCATTATTGAGCTAAATGACAAAGTAATCAAGCTTCTAGATTCAACTTTAACACGTTAAGATTATTTGGTTCATCTTTATCGTGTTACAATATAAGAGATCAAATTTATAAAATATGTTCTTGATCATTTTAGAAGCAAAATTAAGTAATTTCAATCTACTTGACAAAAATATGACGATCAATTAGATAGAAACAGGTTCATTGACTTCCTGCTCAAAACTACAAAACGTCTTGAGCCCGCCACTTCATAGAGGCATTACATTAATGCAAGCTGCAGATTATAATGAACTTGTTGTTATTGTATAAAAGACGTTAGGTGACATTTTTGAACCCTATATGTATAGGTATGTATATGTATATATGATGTGTTTTTTTTTTTATAATCTCAATTAAATAAGCAGTGGGCAGTAGGTGGAGATATGGGGAGGGGAAAAACTGAACTTTTCTGAGCACTTCAAGACACCTCTCATGTTGACCACAGACAACATAGGTGGTAAAGTATTCTCTGTCATTATCTGCTGGTGGTTTGCTAAAAATACAGCCCAGCGATAAGGTATAGAGATAGCAGAGCCACGGTGGCATTACAGGCACGTCAGGGACACTTGAGACTAAAGATAACCCCAAAATGAATCTGAGTAGTTTGACTCCGGTTCTGGGGCGGCTCCCACTGAACTGTTGTGATTTCTCCATCACTGATATAAACAATATAGTAATAACAGTAAAAGGTTGAGGGCAGGGCAGTGTTAGAACAGGGCACTGCGGCTACTTTTGAATTTGCATGTAACATTATGAAGTTGTGTTTTAATTTATATTTTTAGTACAAACACATATTTTTATTTAACTATGCAAAATAGTAACAATCTAGTTTATTCATGAGGTATTACATCTTAATTTCATTTATTTCTTGTCTTATGTTTTCATTAACTAGAAATACAATTAACAAGGTGCAACTTAAGGCTATAACAGTAGTTCTACAAGGCTGTGCTTACTACCTGTAGGTGCATACATTCCACATGCCAAACAAAATTTTGGGAGGCTTTTTTAATTCATTCATTTATATTATTGTGTTAGTTGTAGTAGTACTAGTAGAGCGATTTACTCCATTTATTTTTCTTCAATGAATTCACTGCTTGTATTGAGCTGTTGGTTGGGTGGGTGTTTAAATATTCCAGCAGGCTTGTACATAAGCATTTATGTTGACTTGTAATTGCCAATCTGAAGGACACACAGAAAATAAAGTGTTTTAACAGTTGAGGAGGCTTACCTGGACTAAGCTGGGGTAGCATGTTGTTGTCTGTGGATAGACAGGCAGTCCATACGGCTGAAGGATCACAGTGGGTGAGGAGAGCATAGCCCAAACACCACACAGGAGCCAGGGGGAAAAAAAGAGTAAATAAAAAAGAAAAAGTTACAATATAAACTTAAAATAAAGTATGTTGACCAACTAATCAAAAAATAAATAAAAGTGAGAGCTTAGAAAATAAAGTTTAAGACTAATCTCTTGTAAACCACTGAGCCAAAACTTCATAAAACTCCACAACAAACGTAGTCCTGGCTGGAAATGACAGGTTTTGGCTCAGTGAAATAGGAAGCAGCGGGCTCCTGTGCATCCACCGGTGTGAGGAGGCCTGACAGACAGAGACACATGCACAGGGTCCCGTTTCAGAGGTGTATAAATAGGCACCCACGTCCTTCTCCTTCTGAGTTTACCACCTTAACAACATCTCGTAAACATAAAGCGAAAGTTTTCCAATCCGTAGAAATGTTTTAATAAACTTACTTACCGATACTGTTAAATCATAATCATAATGCTGTGCAATGCTGTGCAAAGTTCTGTTATAATCACATCTTGTCGATTTTTCAATATTGTTTAAATTGGCATTGTAATTAGGCTTACAAACCGTAATTAAATCAAACGTTATAGGCCAGTCGCAGCTGAGGATAAATGCAATAATTTTAAATGGGGGCGGTAGCTGCAGTAGTTTAGCAGTTTTCTATGTGACCAACAGAGGGCATTCATGTCAAAGTTTATATTTCCGCTCAGCTGAAGAGGTGTCTTCTGGGTAATGTAGTCCGCGTCAGGCCTTTATAAAGAATTGAGGCCGGCTTCACGTCCTCTTTATTGCGTGCGCCTGAACGTAACAGGTACGGGGAGCAGTCTTAATATGTGTTTAAGCGGAACATCCAGTTAATAAAGAGTTTTTGTTATGCGTTATGTGTAAATAGGAGTTTTAGGCGTAACACGAGTTGTTCTCAAATGGTCATCGTTATGTTTTGTGTGAATTATCAGATTCTGTTCAGATGCTAACTTAAGCTAAGCTAACTCACTGAAAAACGTGGTTAGCTCAGTAGCTGAAGCTGCGGCCTTGCGATTTTCTGCAGTGATATCCAGCACATTTCCTGTTGTTTTGACATTTCCCTTTTATTAGAAATCGTCACGAATGCATACTTAATCAACTACGCTCCATTTGATCCTATTTTGTCTCCGTCTGCTTGTCGGCTTCACGTTAGATGTTATGCTCTACGATTTGCAACGTGATTAACCTGCCTACACCTTGCCTAGCTAAATTATGTGTCATTTATTGCAGGCACTTTTAAGTCGCCATGCCCGTTGCCAGGAGTTGGGTTTGTCGCAAGACTTATGTCACCCCCCGCCGCCCTTTCGAGAAGTCCCGTCTCGACCAGGAGTTGAAGCTCATTGGTAAGTTGGAGCATGTTTGACTAACATGCATTTGGTGTTGTGCTGTTATTAACTTGTAACATATTTACTCAGGCGAGTATGGACTGAGGAACAAGCGTGAAGTGTGGAGGGTTAAGTTCACCCTGGCCAAGATCCGTAAGGCCGCCAGAGAGCTGCTGACTCTGGATGAGAAGGACCCCAAACGTCTCTTTGAAGGTAGAACTTATCACTTTATGTAGTAATGTGATGGCCGATGATTAAACAACCTTATCTACCTTCAGATTAAACCATGGTGTCACGAATTCCTCGTCAATGAGGCCAAATTATAAAAAGCAAACAGTGTATATATGAAACCTGAAATGGTGAATAATATAATGATATTTCTCTGCAGGTAATGCCTTGCTGAGACGTCTGGTGAGGATCGGTGTGCTTGATGAGGGCAAGATGAAGCTGGATTACATCCTGGGTCTGAAAGTGGAGGACTTTTTGGAGAGAAGGCTGCAAACTCAGGTTTTCAAACTTGGTCTTGCCAAAAGTATCCACCATGCCCGCGTCCTGATCCGGCAAAGACACATCCGGTAAGATGGGACTTCAGAGCAATGGACAGTTTTCAGCATTTTGAAACTGAAATAAATGAACTTCCTCTTTTATCAGAGGACCACCAACAGTTAACACCCCTGATGGGGTCAGTTAAACATTTCGTCAAGGTCAATTCGGTATCAAAGCCGTATACCTTGTTAGACACATTGCCCAGAGCCAATCTCTCAGAGGGCCTGGACTCACTGGTTGAGGTAAGGTTTGGGGGATTGCACCTCGGGCAATTCTAGGAACATGAGTTCCAGGCTGTATGGGCTGATGATTAAGATTAAAATGTCAGATTTTTTGTGGTGTCAAGAATTCCTCGTCAATGAAGCCTGCAGCCACAGTCTAAATGTGTAGTGTACAAACAGGACTGGTTTGTTACCAAATGTTTATTTATATAAATGTTTTGTCTTGTGCAGTGTCCGCAAACAGGTGGTGAACATTCCCTCCTTCGTGGTTCGCCTGGACAGCCAGAAGCACATTGACTTCTCCCTCAGGTCCCCGTACGGTGGTGGACGTCCCGGACGTGTCAAGAGAAAGAACGCCAAGAAGGGCCAGGGCGGAGCTGGAGGAGCTGATGATGAAGAGGAAGATTAAGAAGGAAATCTTCAATGTAGTGTTTAACACTGCTTAAAGTTTTCAATAAAATCTTAAACTGACCAATGTGTTGACTTTTTTTGAGAATGGTGTGGAAGGTGATGTCAGTGCTACTGTTTTGAATAGTGTATATTAGGGTTAGTTATGAGCCCTCAAGTTTTGTTTCAAGTCAATGCATTAAGTGTAGGCTGTAGTGGGGATTGCAGTACCATATCTTTAATAAAGATAAAAATGAACTTTATTGTCAATGCTACCATGTAACATTACACGGGGGGGATAGAAATTGTGTTTTCCCAGAACCCCAATGTTCAGTTAAAAACTTAAACCACATGAAAATGTACGTACATATAAATAATAAATTAAACGCAGTATATAGACAAGGACATGCACGTTTCCACAAGAAGAATGAGGAAGCTATTTTAATATTTTGTTTTAATATCAGTTCTATCGGATTCTGAAGTCAGTGACTAAATACAATTTAAATGTTATTTTAGTAGATCCATGCTGTAAGTGCAGAGAGGAGGTAAAATGGTATAGTCCTGGTTTGAGCCCACCCCCAACCTGCTGTAGTGGATCAGTCATCGCGTCGGAACCAGAAGTGAACGAAGGATATGGATGAATAATGTTTATAGTCCGATTGCTTCAACACGAGGCGGGTCTGGAAGTTTTTACAGCGCCGCAAAGATACCCTGCTTAATACAAAAGGTGCGCAATGCAAAATCAATGTTTTTAACACTTTATTTGATTTTTTTTTTGTGTCTTGTTGATGCTATTGCCGCCGCTAGCCCACCCGCTTTCACTCTCCAACACCTTACACTGGCATCTAGCTAGCGTTTATTGACATTTTAAGACTTACTAAATTACAAATGAGCATTATGTACCCATTAACTGATAATAATTGAAGCAGATCATGTAATTTATAAGAACGTTAGAGTTATGCTACGTGTTGATTGAGAACATGTTGCTTTCATACGAGCACAAGGTGAGGAGGCAAATGCATAAAACATTAAGGAAGCTACGGAGATTTCTTTGTTTTGTTTGTTTAATCAGGCTTGTGGGCTCAATAATCTTCGTACTGATAGCGATAATAATAAAGTGAGTTAATTAGATGTAGTGTTGAACTGTTCTATGTTCTTCTCATGGTTCCTTTTTTTTTTTTACAGGAATTTGTTCTTTTGAAATGTCTCGAAGAAAATTGCCCAATGTTTTGTCTTGACACGTACTGTGCCAGTGTAGCCCTCATGTACAGACACTAAACATACACACACAACCTCATTCAGTCATTCAGTCATTCATTCAAGTGTACATTTCTAACACCCTTTTGTGTTATTGTAAGTTGGCAAAGTTTGAATTAAACTAACTATTTATTTATATAATTTGTTTTGCAGTTTAGAGATGTCGCCAGAGGAGTTAGTTTACCTGGGCATACTCGGTGCCTCCATTCTTGTTGGATTTCTATTTCGCTTTCTCAGTGAGTACCAAATTAATAATACTTACAGTCTTTATTCACCACCATGTTGTCTATAAGTAACACAACAAGGTAGACTAGTTTTATATATAACACTATCAGAGTAATTTTGGCTGAAGTTAGATTATTTTCATATTATTCTGTAATGTAGTGCTATTTTTTACCCTTAAAATACAAGTTAAGTATCAAGACAGTCTACTAGTGAGAGGTCTGTACATCTGCCCCAACAGTTGTTATGTAGTCCATTTGTGAGGATTATATCTTTAATCCACTGTAAATCTCGAGAGGCCATGTATGTCAGTAATGTGTAGTTCTTGTTTGAACAATATGCCTCTATTAGAGCGCAATGACAGATCTGTTCCACACAGAACTTAAACAAATGAAAGCGCTCGTAGCTGAACAATATGTAAATCGTGGTAAGAGTTTATAGTAGCTTTTGTTGTGCTAATATGGACCCATGCAAATAATCTTGTGTATGTTTTTCCATCTAAACAATTTAATACTGGTCTTAATAACAGTATTTCTGCTCTGCTTGTAGCATTTTACAGCAGATTTTCACTTACTTTTTATTATTGTTCAAAAATTGCTGACATTTTTAACACCTACACATATGATCCAGAGTCAGTACTTCTTAATAATTACAAGTAAATACAGAGCAGTAGGCGGAGATGGGGGGGTAGATGAAAGTTTATCATTCTTATAATAAAATTCACTTTATTTATTGAATTTCCTGCATTTGACCTGAATGTCCTGTCCAGACCTTGAACTTTGTTTATACATTAGACAAACTTTACTGATCCACAAGGAAATTATTTGTTGGTTAATGGTCATCATTTGCATCTATCCCACTACTCACTATTTAAATATAAACCATAAACAGTTTTGACATTATGAGCACAACCGTTAATCATTATTCACTTGGTTTATTTTGTGACAGCAGTAACCTCTTTTTCCTCTTCTGTAGGCCCCCCTGTGAAGCAGGGAGCAGCACTCCTACTCGGCCTCTCTATTACGATTGCCACCTGTAATGTTCACACACTCCACTCTCTGGTGACTGTGATCGGGACATGGATCATAGTCAGGACCAACTGGAGGTAAGAAAACACAACTACATTAAAACGGCTGAAGGATCTGGTTGCCATAGGTTGCTAATGGATTCCACAAAATAGTCATCAACCATGAAAAACCCATATTGATTGATGTGCAATTAAGAACCACTTGCATTTAGAAACAGGGCAGTATACAGTTTACACAGTGTGCCAGTAATCATAAACACTGTAAAACGATTGTGAAATGATTTATAAAAAAGGGGCTTCGCAGTTTTAAGAAGTGTTTGTATATGACATATTTCTCCTTGGTCATGCACTGGTTTGCTGAGCAGGCCACACTGATTAAGCTATAATAGTCATACATGGATTGAAATAGATCTGCCTGACCATTCTTGTTTATTTATATTATTTGTAGGTGTATAAGTGTAGGTGTATATTATGAAAAAAAACATTTATTATTATACAAAACACCCAGTGAAAAAGTGATTAAATAGCTCTTAAGGCATTGCTTCCTCATCACAAACATATCTGGAGTTGTCTTTTATTTCATTCACACATTTAACTCACAAATCCTGCATATTTAAGCTGAGTTCTTTTCTCAAACAGAAAACCTTGTGATGTCACTGTGGTAATACAGGAAGCTCTCCACTGTTTTTTAAAACGTATACACCTTCACTAGAATTATTTGGATAATTTCAGCCCTGGAATTGCCTTGGCATCACAATGTGGAACAGAGCATTTTGAGCTTTGGAGATTTCAACATACTAATGAAGCCAAGGCAAGGAAAGTTTATTTGTATCACAATTCATACACAAAGTAATTGGGCTTTACAGAATAAGAAATGCATCAAAATTACAATACAACCAAATCAAAACAGAAATAATTATCATGAAATTAAAAAGAGAAAGAGACAGAGAGACATTAAATGAGAGAGAAGCTAATTATAAATGATTTTATTTCTTCTTTTAATAATAAAGGGTTACTGGAACGTGTGTGAATGAAACAAAACACAACAAAAAATATGGTTTTGATGAGGGAACAACATTATAACATGGCTTAAAGCTCACAAGAGTCACTTGTGCGTAATATGGGATCTTTAATCTGCATTTCAGGACATGACTATAGTAGAGGTTCCTTGTTATGTATCATGTAAAAATCCCTCTCTTGTTTCCTAGACATGCTCCAGCTCTGAGTTTGGCTTGGACCTTCCTCTACCTCCTCTTCTTTCGACTGGTCACATGGTTCAACCTGCCTCCGCCCACTCCATATGCCAATGCTGTTCAACTGCTCCTCACTCTCAAGGTACTGAAAACACCTATAGTACTTTCACCAATGCCTCAACAATTTGTAATTGCTATTTTTTCCTAGTGTTGTGGTTAGATTTAGATTTGTCATATGTGTTTAAAACGTTGCAGTGGGCCAAAGTTATTCCTCACTTACCTTATGGATTCAGAGCATCCTAATTATTCACTGTGATGAGTTTATAAGCACGTTTCAGAAGGTTTAGAGGCAAGAGTTGAGTTTCACAGCCATGAAGCCATCACAGTAATGCTAACAACTGCAGCTTTATAATTGGATGCAGTCAGTGTACACGGCAGATTTATTTTGACCTCAAGAGCTGCTTGTACAATATATCTGTTCTGGGGCAAGACAAATTATGCTCAAATATGTTTATAAATTGGGTACGGACTTTTACATTGAGAGAAGACTGAAATATGAACTTGTAAACTAATATAACAAGAATGATGTGCATGTCAGAACATGTTAGCGGGTCTTTACATATGAGAAATTATGTGACCTTAATAATTGGTCGCATTGGTGAGTTGCTATTATTATTGATACTTTGCAGCTGATGCCATCAACATTCTGAACACAACCTTCCTCCAGCAGGATGTCACTGCAAAGTATCAATATGTCTAATCATTTCACACATATTATTTATAGATGGTGAGTCTTGCAAATGAAATCAACAGTTTTCACACCGAGAAGAAAAAGGATGTGAGCTCCTTTAGTAAGTCGTCTGTGGTTGGAGGTTTGTCACAGGAACCGTCTCTCTACGATATTCTGTCCTATAGCTACTGTTACGTGGGCATTATGACGGGTGAGTACACAGAATTTATATGTACCGTATATTTATCACTGCATCGCTGCATCACTGACTGCTCCCCCACCACACCTAATGACTTTGTTTTCCATATTTATATTTGCATTTTTTAACTGTTGTCTCTTTGTCTTACTCTGTGCTTCATGTTTGATATTGTGTGAGTTGTATTCAAAATTATTTGAAAACATGGGCATTGGTTTACATATGAACTGTAGGGAGATATTTTTATTTAAATTATAAAATTTGCAATTACAATTTGCTTAAGGCGATAAAGAAACATTGTGCATATCACAACATGTTTAGAGATCGCCCAATATGTGTTTTTTTCTTGGCCAATGCTGATACCGATTGTTTAGACTCCAGAGAAACTAATGGCCGATAAGGTCTCCCAATATTTTTCAAGGTGAGTGATTTATTAGTCAATATGTAGGGCTGATTTAGATAATTTTCCCCAAATGTCTCTCATTTAATTTCACTGCACTCACCTACAAACCTTTTAAGAAAGCTGTGTAGTCACATTTTGTGCAGTTATCTCTTCACTCTAAAATGTTAAAATAAAGTGTGGCAGCACGTCGACCAAAACAAAAAATCACAGCCTCTGCTGGAGATTTTAGGCGGAGAGCTGATACTATATAAAGTGCAAATAACGGCCTGAGGCTGCTACAGAGTTGACAGCTTTTATATTTAGACTCAGTGGAGAAGAGTTTATAGCATTTAAAGATTCACTGTAACTTTTCTAGTGGAGGGTATTCCACCTTTACCAGTCTGCATGGAGATGTCATTGCTTAGAATGTTCCACAGTGTGCATTAAAACTCCATGAAGATAAGCAAGTGATGTCACCGGGCCAAGTTGCAGAGTTCAATAAATGCTAGATAGATGGATACATTTAATGCCATACTTTGGAACATTCTGGGTTCATGGAGAGTTAGCAGACCCACCATCCCCTCCCCTCCTTAGTAACTGCTTTTTTTGCCAATTGTAACCAGTGATCATTCAGACTGGAATTGGATTCAATTGCAACAAATTTTGCAGCACCTTAACAAACCAGCACCCTTGTTTTCACATGTGCATTTGACTGATGTTAGACTGAGTTCTTCTCTCAAACAGAATACACTGTTTTACACGTTGTGATGTCATGTGGCAATACTAATATAGGAAGTGCTCCACTGTGTTTTTAAACTCCATACACATTCTCTAGAATCATTTGGATAATTTTAGCCCTTGGAATTGCCAGTCTCCACTGAACAAAAGGTTAAAGATTAAAGTTAAAGTTGAAAGATACAGCTTCATGACTTTACAAGGTGGAACAGAGCATTTAGAGCTTCCTTTAGAATTTCCTTTTGATGTTGATGAACATATCTATTTTTATTTATGTAATGTCTAAATACAATTCATTCTCAATTGTATAAATGATATATGACCTGTTTTTCTGTGTTAGCCCTGATCCCAGCGCTGAGGAAAAGTACGACTTCAAAACCATCCAGAATATCGACTGCTACAACACAGACTTCTGTGTCAAAGTGCGTCACGGGATGCGCTACTGGAACATGACGGTGCAATGGTGGCTTCATCACTACATCTACCCCAATGCCCCCTTCAAATCCTACACACTCAGGCAAGACTCATGTGCTTTTAGATTGGTTAAGGGATGCTACTAAGTTCTGTTTTGGAATTGGATCATAGACTTTGTATATAAATGGGCAAAGTTAAACTGCTCGACGCCGCATTCTAAATAGGAAGTGATCTTGGGCACACTTCCAGATCCATCGACTCTGCCTCCAATTCACTTTGTATTGAAAAACTGTCTCTCCCGCTCTGTAACTGCTGTTACCAGGCTCATAATTTTGCTCTTAAAATGTTCGTATTAACCCACTCTACTTGATCCTGATGTTTTTATTTGGTATTTTGTTCATAAATCTAGATATGAAAATTAACAGCAGACAAATCAGATGCCTTCTTTCCCGTGTTGCTCCTTCTAGCATTGGCAACAAATTTGATAAAATAAAATATCAATAGTTGACCATGCATTGAATGATGCATGTAAAGACTTTACTACAACATACTTTCTTACCTTGTCTCCCCTTTGATTTCTAGGGCGGGCTGGACGATGTTTATCAGCGCATATTGGCACGGGCTCCACGCAGGGTACTACCTCTCATTCCTCACCATCCCCCTGTGCATCGCTGCGGAGTCGGCCATGGAGGCGTCCGTTAGATCCAAACTAGGTCCTCGTGGCCAAAGCGTGTTTGACTGGATCCACTGGTTTTTGAAGATGAGGGCTTATGACTACATGTGCATGGGCTTTGTGCTACTGAAAGCTCAAGACACAGTTAACTACTGGATGTCCATATATTTCATCATGCATATCATTGCAGTCATGTGTATTATAGTGGGCAAACTCCTGAAAAGTGGTAAAAGGGAACTAAAAAGACAAGAACAGGTTAGTGTCACAGACCCAGTAGAGAAAACTGATGAGAAAAAGACTGAATGAATGTACATGTGTTTATTTTTATTGGAAGAAGTGTAGATAATACTCTTCGGGATTGTAATTTTTGTTAATACAGAAATTTATTGAGGAATGCCAGACATTTCAGTTACATCCTAAAAAACATATTCATTATCTAGGCCTGTCACAACAAATTCTGAAGCTTAATACATTGCTACGGAGATGTATAACAATAAACAAGATCACAGAAACTACTTTATGCCACTTCCACGAAGCAGGATAATGCCAGTAAACCATTTTTAAGTAGACAGTATCATTAAAAGGCATGAAACACAACAAATTGCATAATAAACTCATAATAATTAGCCATATAAGTTATTTATTTTATCCTCTAAAGCTTTAATCTTATTGTATTTAAATTAAAATAACAATAATCTAGCCAATTTTTGCAAAGATGATAAATAATGAGCCCCGAAATATATTGTTCCAGCTTCCATATACTGAACGAAAGTCGATATAGTGATTATGACAGGCCTACCAATGATATTTTCAATTGTTTGTCAGCCCTTAAAGTTTTGCCTGATACTAAACTAAAGTACAATTTGATGTTAATGTTAAAATGGTGCACTATGTAACTTTTCTGCTCATCTCCATAAAGATATTGCTTTGCCTAGAATCTTCCATTTAACTTGTATTTATGAAGAAAAGCAGATGGCACCACCAGGCCAAGTTACAGGTCTGATTTGTGTAGAGGCGACGCTGCTCACAACAAGAATTTCTGTTGCTCAAGGCATTTCTTTACCAGTAGTTGAATATGTACAAAATGAACATGTTTTATGCCATATTGTGAACATTCAAAGCACATGGAGATGGCAGACCCTCACCAGAAAGTTACACAGTGCACCTTTAAAATCAAAACATTGCATTGAGAAATCTCCCTCTCCAGAGCTCAAAACTCCTGGTTCTACTTTATAGGTTGTAGTCTATGAAGTGCTCCTCTGTTACTGTTTTTAACCTCATTTGAGCTGCTTGGCTGCTATACTAGTTTGCTAGCAAGTTGGCCTTTTGTAGGCTTAGAAACTTGTAGGGAGTTACTTAATGATGCAGTGCAATATCTTAAGATGTAAAGATGTGTTCAAAAAGTCAGATTAAACACTCTTGAATATGGGCTGCTCTTCTGCCTGCACAAAAATCATGCACAAACTCGTTCAATATGGACACCGTTGACCTGCCGAGTGATTTAACTGTGAGCTGTACGAGCAATGCACATACTGTATTTTTACATTAGATTTCTGTACTACTGTGGTTTACCTGCGACTGTGCCATTTTCAATGTCCATCCACTGCCAGAACGTTTCAACTGCCATCGAAGACCTGTCGGGTAGGATTAAACACTTTTCTAAATGGTAAAGAATTGACAAAAAGACTGAAAAATGAATTGTTTGTACAGATCTAAACTACAGGGTTAGTTGTTTTTATGCAGAATAAGACTTGGTATTTTTGTGGAGGAAAATTGCAGTCTTTGTGCTTTGATAATTGCATCAACTAAAATTGCTACTCCAATTTAATTGCAATTAATGTTACACATTACAGACCGTCTGAGGGACCCGTCCTGCCTTTACACCGCCTTCCTTCCCCACCCCAGAAGCCCCTAATTATATATTTAATTATATTGAATAAATTGAGGTTGAGTTCAAACAATTCAAATATATTCCTTATACAACATTTTCTCTATTTGAATGTACAGCATGCTGATCCGATCTCTGTATGTTGGTCTAATGTCAAAAGCAGATTCCTGTACCATTCCTTCTCTGTAACAGAATGCATCTGTTTTCAATCAGGGATGCACTGATACCAATACTGGTACGAAAAATGGTCAATACTAGTATCGAAAAATCAGATGGCTCAGTTATAATTGTTCCATAATATCTGTTAAGTCGATGTTATGTTTAGGCCATTAATTGGATGTAATAAGACGATTCACAGGTTGATCTTGGTCTAGAATGTTTCATAATGTTTGGACTTTTATTCATACAAAGCTGTTCAGTAGTGATGCAGTAAAATTAGAATTGCATACTACAGTTGAATCTATTGTGTAATAAGTTTTTAAGGAAATAAGTGCCATTTTTCGTCCCCACACTGGTATCGGTTAATATTGAGTATCTGCAACTATTAAAAGTTAATTGGTATCGGTACTGAAAAAGCAGGATCGACACATCCCTGTTTTCAATGTTGTTATCGAGACATTCACTGTGTTCATTTTTGTAACTTTGTTTAAACTTTACATAACATTGAGTTTATATGTATAACTTTACATATAATTGCATTTTCATGTCTGTATAATACTTTAAATTAAACATTTTTACATATCTACTCTCTTGTTGATTTTATTTTTACTTTTTAATAGACTGTCAATCTCTTGTTAGTCAAAGGAAAGACAGCTGGACACACTAAATTACCAGGTTTCAGTTTTCATTACGCTTTTCCGATTTGTTTGATTTGGGTGTGACCAGGGTAAATTAATATTGTCAATTGTTTGCATATTGGTGTTGAATAATGATACCATAAACCTAACAACTCAATATAACTCAATTTCATGAACATACTCAACAGGCGTGGATATTTTATTATTTATTATTATTTTCCATTGTAAAACTACAGTGTTTCTTCCTACAATATTAGAAACTCCAAAGTTAGTTCAGTTTAAACGGCTTAACTCACTGGCAACCATCACCTTGGACACAATGGGTTAAAACACACAAGGAAGTAGTTTTTCCATGGGAGTAAAGTCCATGAGATGAGAAAGCACAACAGCGCTTCCCGGTTGGGACCTTTTCCTCATGATAAACTTTGGCACGGGTGTTTTGGATTGCTTTGAATAGAAATTGTAATTTGTTTAAAAGAGTTGGGAAACACGGATGGAGCGCTCACAGTCTGTTTACAATGAGGGTATGTTAGTTTATTTTTTTTATGTCTATCTAGTATTAATTTATTGAAGTGCATAGTATACATGAGGACAATTTTTAAATGAATCAAAGGGATTTCACACACAGTTAATTTCTCTTTAACCATATTATTTTGTAGCCCAACTGTACACGATCTGTTTAGTGATTATTCTATGAGCAAGTCTATAAGTGACTCTTTGATTTTTCTGTACTTTTTTATTTGGAAATACTAGAAATGTCAGTATTTGTAGTTTCTTTGTTTTTTCTACAATAGTTAAACATAAATTAGGTGCATTTAATTTACACCCAGTTCAGTTCAGATTTAGACTTGACTAGGTCCTGTTCTAGTCCTGTTTTAGTCCTCAACTAGTATGAGCACTCAGGCTTTTTGTTACCAAGTATTTGCTCTTTTTTGGCTAATTATTACTATGTTCTTTTACTTGAGTTATTTTTAATTTTGAAGTGATATCAATCTAGCTTGGGTAAACATTCTGAGTCCCTGCTCTGTATATTTCTTCACTCCAGGGTCAGGTCTTGGCTCTCTCAGTGACCCCCAGTCCATGAGGCTTCGCCGGGCTCCATCTCGCTCGTCCAGTCGAAACTACCCTCACCTCGACCAGAGCTCCGACCTAGACGAAGAAAGCGACGATGGCTCTACTCCAAACCTGCGCTCCATCCCTCTGCCAATGGCCCTCAAGAGAGCAGTGCGGTAAGAAGACATTTCAATACAGATAAGCAAGAGAGTTAAAGGGTCTTTATTATGTCTGTATTACTTTATTTTCTGATCTATGTTCCTCAACAAAACATTACCTGGAGTTGTGTTTTGTTTCATTCACACAAATCCTTCAGTTCTTCTTTTACCACCTTGTGATGTCATGTGGTAATACAGGAAGTGCTCCACTACGTTTTTAAACTCCATACACCTTCACTAGAATCATTTGGATAATAACAGCCCTGGAATTGCCGATCTACTGAACAAAAGGTCAAAGGCAGCTTTTAAGTTGAAACTACCACAACATGACAAGATGGAACAGAGCATTTTGATCTTTGGAGATGCAGAACGACTAATAATAAAGCGTTACTCAAACATGTATGAATGAAAGAAAACATAATTCCAGGTATGTTTTTTTTTTTTCACTGGAGTGGCCCAAGTTTTGAAAGTACAATTTTAAACTCCAAGCAAGGTAGCAGAACAGTCACCCACTAACCAGAAGATTAGTGCTTCGAACATTGTATTACCGTTGTGTCTGTGCCTGTTTGTGCCAGTCCAAATCAAATAATGATAAAACATAATTGGATTTATTTAATTTTATTTATGTATTTAATATGAACATAGCAATTACATTGAATGACCAGATGCACAGTTTCAAGTGTTATGGCAAAAAATATTAAATATTATTGAACGCTATTGATCCTGTACAATTTGAGTTGTACTCTGTTTTTGGCTTAATAAAATTTTATGACTAAAAAAATATTAAATATTAAACCCAAATCTGTAGGAACTAGGGTTTCAGTCTGGAATATTTGTCCCATGGAGTTACATGGGCCCTTGCACCTGTCTGAAATTATGACATAATAAAAATGTAGAACGTAATCACAATCAGTAATTAATATTCAGGAGATTAGTTTGTGCGTGTGCGTGTGCGTGTGTGTGTGTGTGTGTGTGCGTGTGCGTGTGGGTGTGAACAGCTGTGTGAGGTTGCATTGTACCTTTGTCGTAATACTCAAACTGATAAGGTCTCTTGTTGTACAGTCAGGCGCATCAGATACAGACCCCTGTTGCTTCTGGAGAGGATTCCTGGAAGAAAAAGAAGAAGAAATTCATACTGAAAATCAAAACTGTCGCTAGAGAAATTCTGTACTTTTTTACTCTGTGGAGAAAATCTATGCAGAAAATTGGAGGTAGAGATCTTGTCTCCATGCTTATATGTCATTATTTCAACTTTACTATTAAATGTATTCTCATTTAAGGTAATTTTGGAGGTGGAGTCCAGTCCTACTTTCTGTTCTTACGTTTCCTGGTGGTACTGAACTTTGTTTCCTTCTTATTGATTGCTGGGTTTGTCATTATTCCGAGTATCATCTTCAGATCTGTGGAGGGCCTTCCTATTAACAGTACAGGTAAACCAAATAAAAATAAATTATATTTTTTTTATATTTTACCGAGAATGTTTTATAGCATTGGATCTCAAACTATTCACCTGTAATGAATTGGCTTATTTCAATGTTGCTGATCATTTTTGCAGTTTTATTTCCTGTGTTTTCAAATAGGACTTCATGCATTGACATAAGAAGTGTGTCCAGAATAATTTTCACTTTAATTGAAAAAGCAAATTCAAACTATTTAAATTTCAGTACTTCACCATTCATGTATAACATATGATGGTAATTTCTAATAATATGTGTTATAATTTGGTGATTCATTGGACTTGTTTGTGTTGCCCCCATCTGTCTGGATTTAGACCTGGTTTACATTAGTTTGATTAGTCTGGATTTGGTTTTATTTTAAATCTGGAATCACTGTGTTAGTCTAGTGATAGGCCTTCTTGGAAAGCAAAATGTTGTAGACCAATAAGGTGGGAAGGTTTTTAAAGGGAATATGCTGTTCTATTTAGCAGTTGCCTAGTAAAAACTCTGAGTAATAAAAATACAGTTGGAACAGAAACAGGTATTCTTGTAAAATGAACAAAGTGAAAAAAAAAAAGATATATATATTTTAACGTTTTTTTGAAGTTGCAATTGAATATTTTTTTAAGAATTGTTACAAAAAATACAATAATGTGTAACTTTTACTTTTGCCAACATTAATCCTAAATGTGACTAGAATAGATCTCTGAAGCTGTAAATACTCACAATGTCCCTGGTCTCTTTTAGATCCAGAGGAATGCACAATCTATGATCCTAATCCTCAAGGCTTGGTGGTTTTCTATACCTACTTTCTGCATTTTCTCTCAGGAACGGTACGAGCCAATCTGCACCATCAATCCCCTCAGACAACCTCCACACACACACACACACACACGCACGCACGCACGCGCACACACACAAACACACACCATCAACCTGCTATTGTACAGAACACTGACTGTTGGATGGGTCAAACACATTTCAAACAAATTTCCTGATAAAGAGACAATAAAGTTCAAGAAATAATAAAAAAAAAGATAATATAAAACTAATATGTGTTTTCTGTTTAGGGTTTTATTGAGTATACATACCTCTTCTATGGCTACTACAACACTACGATGGTCGAGGGCTCGAACTTTTCCTATAACATCCCTCTGGCCTATCTGTCCACTGCAGCGTTTTACCTGCTCTTCTGCCTCTTCTGCATCATCGCACGGTGAGTTCGATGACACACTATAAAAAATAACTATTTCATAATTAATTCAAGTATTTGAATTCAGGAAGTTGATCTTTATGAGTAGTTCTAACTATATTTATTATTAGGTCTAAATTATTTAACTGATTTAAAATGTAACTATTGGAATCATCTACCAGTGAGGCACGGAAATAGCATGTAACCTAATAAGTAATTTTTTCAAATACAAACTGACTTGTCTAGGGAGGAAAGTAAGATACATTAACTTATAAATCTGTAGCTGTGGAGCAGCATAAATTTTACAGTGTACTAAAATGTGACACACAATTAAAAAATATCAGTAGCAGCAGTAGACAGTAAAAGTACAACAATCTTACCCTATAACCAGAAAAGTGTCAAATCTCCTCAAATCAGACATACTCTGAGTTTTACACATGTAGATATTGATTTTTACAGTGCAGTTAAAAGGTTCCTTAGTGTTTTATTTCTTACAGAATGGGCACCACAGCTCGTGTTGTTGTGGCGACAGGAGGCAGTACTGAAGGAAGCTACAGCATGCTCGTGTTCACTGGGTGGGATTATGGGTCCAATGGAAGCCAAGCCACAAAACTCAAACAGCAAAACATCTACTACAGACTACAGGTAAAGATCAATGGCATCCATATCAGGAAAATACAAGAAACACAAACAGACTGACCATCCCACCCCTGTTATATTCTCATATATCACCACTAAATGCTATTTACAAAACTCAGCAGAGAGCACAGGTGAGGGGAGGAGGGGCCAGGTTTCACATCTGCCATCTACTTGTAAAAACAGATGGTAGTTTTAAGTTCAGTTAGTCATCGCTAGTCATGAAAAGCATTAGATGGTTAATCAATTTGGTGTTTGTAGTAACTAATGTTACACAGTATGTTAGCATTTTAGCAAATTTCATCATTAGTTTCCCTTAATTACTCTTATTTAGCATTATTATTATCGTCAGTGTTTTTTTTCTGACAGGTGGATCTTGAAGAGGAGAGGATAAAGAAGAGGAGTGCCTCTCTCACACAGTGTCAGAAAGTCCTTCTGTTCTCAACTCGTGTTTTTTTGTTCATTTTGTGTGTTGGTTTCATTGGAGCAGCCATAGCAGGAATCTACTTTGCTACTAACTTCAGTCAGGTACAGTTTGTTTGGGTTATTTAAAGAAATCAAAAGTAGTGTTATAACAATAATAATTAATTTATGTTTCCTGAAATATTCTTTTGTGTGTCCATAGTAGTTGTTTTGTTGTTAATTTACAATACAACACATTTAAAAATATAGAACTTTTTTTTTTGAATTGTCAAAAATTCATTTACATTTTTAGTTCACTCCACGATTAGTAAGTTGCCTCTGCAGCCACAGCTGCCCTGGTGCAAGTCCTGGAAGCAAGGCAGCCAGTCTATGCTGTCAGCCCCTCCGCCCTCCATCAGTCAGGTGGATGAAGTGTCTTGCCCTTGGCAGCCTTGCTTCCATCAGTTAAACCCAGGGCAGTTGTAGCTACAGAAGAAACTCAGCAGCACCTCGTGTGGAGTGAATGAAAAATATAATTTAAGACTTTTGAGTATCTTGAAAGGTGGTACGCAATAAACACTATTAATGTTTGTATATAGTCACAGTATTTTCTTATCACGTCATCTCTGTTACTACTTAACTTAACAGTTTCTTCCCTCTACAGCTAAACTCGAACCAACAAGGGTTCCTGGGGTTATTTTATGAGTATTTACCATCCATCGTGATCACAGGAGCAAATTTCATTGTTCCCATGTTGAATGACCAGATTGCTCCATTTGAAAAATATTCTCCCAGCATCACGATCATCCTGGCATTACTCAGGTACAAACAAGTTCATTAAAAAACATGTAAATTTACAGTTTAACGCCATACTCTGGAACATTCCAGGTAACACAATAACATATTAATGGAGACAAGCAGGTGTCGGACTCTCCATCAGAAAGTTACATGATACAAAGTGTACTATCTCAGTGGAAATTAACATTCTGAACTCAAGTCATTAGATTGAAATTTCTATTTAATTTTTTGTGTGTCCAGGGCAGTTGTCCTACGGTTGGTCAGTTTGATTATTCTTCTCTACACTTTGTGGTCTCAGATCACATGTGAAAAAGCAGAAGCAGACTGTAATCTCTGTGGTTACAATGTCAAGGCTTATCAGGTACTCACACACACTGCAAGAAAACATGGGTGAAAATAACTTTTCAATTAAAAAAATAAATGTTTATTTGAGTCTTTTTGACTAGGTTAGATTCAGATTGAATTGCTAATTTGAAATATTGAATATTGAATTTGTTTCAAGAAAGAAGAAAATGAAAATATGTTATTTGGGTTAGAACAATGTTCTTCTTTCCTTTTCATAGTGCTGGGAGACCCGTGTGGGACAGGAGATGTACAAGCTGACACTCTTTGATCTGATCATTAACGTAGCTGTACTTGTGTTAGTGGAGTTTCCACGCAGGTACATTATATGAGGACTTATTAAATTTTTTTTATTTGCTTCAAAAAATTGTGTCATTATTCAACCTCAAAGACAACCAAATTTAAGTACTGTAAATCAGAGAATTACTGTGTGGTTATTTCTTTCAAAAACAGTGAATCTCCCATAGAGGTATATAGGACCTACCCTCTATCTAAAATTATGACATTATCAACTTCTAGATAGCCCATTGAATTATACCTTTGTTGTAACTTCTGCTGTGTTTCTCTTTTACAGGATGGTAGTGGATAACTGTTCCAATAAGATCACTGAGTGGGTGGGGCGACAGGAGTTTGTGGTTCCTTATAATGTGCTAGGTCTCGTCTATGGTCAGACTGTGGTGTGGACTGGAGCTTTTTTCTGCCCTTTGCTTCCCCTAATCAACACCCTCAAGTTTGTCATCCTCTTTTACACCAAGAAGGTATGTGTGCTTCACATGACAACACAATATTCTATAGTTTAAAATTGAGCTGAAGGATAGGCCAAAATTATACAGTGATGGAATTTGTTTAATTGCTGCACCTCATTTATGGTAGTAAGTAATAAATTACTTGGCCTATCCCCATAAAAAGTAAAAAACACCTCATAGAAATACACAGGAATTATTATTTGACAAATACAATTATAAGAGTATATAAGAGTTATAAGTGTAAACAAAAAAAAATCTGTTTCTTGTGTGTAAATTGTGTATACATTTTTTATAGAATTCTCCTACTCTTTAAAATAGAGATCTCTCCTGTAATTTTCAACATATTTTTCAACTTTTCTTGGTAAATTGTTTTTTGATTGGTATAAAACTCGTTTATATTTACAACAGGTATTATACAAGTTAAGTAAAAATTACATAAATATCAAATCAGACACACTGTGAAATTAGAACGGAAGTCTTTGTGGAGCAGTGGTCTCAGAAAGTGGTGTCAACAATAAACTGTAAAGATGTGATTGTTATCAGGGCTTTAAGACATGAGATTAATATGGGAAGTATGTGGAGCCAGTCCCAAACATATAATCATAAGGTTCAACATTTGTTTTTCTCTTTAATTTTCCAGATAACTCTTTTCTATAACTGCCGACCTGCACTCAAGACGTTCCGCTCCACCTCTTCTAGTTTCTTCTTCTCTGGGATTCTCCTGCTTGGACTGGGTCTGGCTTCTCTTGTGATGATTTACAGTGTTGCTGTGTGAGTGGACACTGTTTGTTCTAAGATCATTCCAACATTCTGTGATTCCTATAGTTTTAAAATGAACTGGAGGACAGGTCAAAATTCCATGGCTGTTTAACTGATTTTTTTTTACCTGGTTTATGGTTAATGGCTCCATAATTATCAGGCCTTTCCACATGAAACAAAAACTCATACATAGTTCAAAGTCTTCTTTGTCAGTATAAATAATCAAATGAAAATAGCTAAATTGTCTGAGATGTGACTGAACTAATATCGGAAGCCACAGCTGCCCTGAGGTAGTTTAAGGGAGGCGTGGCTGTCAATCTGCACCTCTGAACCCCAACAACTTGTCACACACTATAATTCATTCAACATTTAGTTATTTATACTTTTGGATATTTCTTATGCAAAATGCTATAGTTCAGATGGTAACACACTGGTAGAACGCTAACCCTACCCTCATCTAGTGCATAATATTGTTGTGTCCTTGGGCAAGACAATTTGCTCACATTGTTATTATAGCTTCTAAACACTATATTCCTGCAGGATTCAGCCTTCTAAGGCATGTGGACCATTCCGGTTGAATAGTACCATGTGGGACGTGGTTCCTACCTCCATCAGCCAGCTCTCCCCAACAACTCAAGAATTCCTCTTCTTCATCGGCTCCCAGTCCTTCTCCATCCCGCTGTTTGCCTTGTCCTGGTAAGAGTTAAAAAAAATTTACTATTTATATTATTGATAATGATTGATTTTGTAAATAGTTGAAACATTTTAATGGAATTGAAATTTAATCTTAATGTGTAATCATTTTCATTACAGTTTGATTCTGTGTTACATCGTCGCCTTAGCCACTGTCTACAAGAAAAGCGTTACTTTGTTAAAAGACCAACTTAAACTGGTAAATATTTTTCTGTATAAAACATCAGCCATAATTACTGAGAATTAATTAATCATTTTGTAGAAATTAATAATTAATAACTATGATAATGGTTTTATTTATGCTTTTACAGGAAGGACAGGATAAACAATTCTTGGTCAAACAAATTGGGAGACTGAGCGGCAAAATGTGATTTAATCTTTGTGAAGAGAACCATTACAAAACTGTGCTTTCATAACATTATATGTAATGTCCTTTTAAGATATTTTATGTCATGTATGCTTCTTAATATATAAATAAATGTGTGTTGATTTTTAAGGTGTCCTTGTTATCCTAATCAATCTATTTGTGGGTTTCAGAGTGATTAGAGTCTCACAAGTTGCCTTCTATTTTCTTCTGCTGTTCTTACCCTGGGGCAATTCAAAATGCTCTTATGTTATCATATAGTAATTAAAAATTATATATTATGCATTTTGAATGGGTAGGGGTCTTCAAGATATCACCTATTAACAGCTGAAACCCCCATGAAGGTGGTTAAAAGATGTGATACTTAATGAATGTTTGTTTGGGCAGGTTTGGCCATCATTTCTCTGAGGTTGTATTGCGCCCTCTAGTGTTTTAAGAGCGGTACTGCGTGATTACCTTTGTTTACTTCCGGCCGAGTCTCTGTCCTCTTCCTGTTCGCTTGGACTCCGGACAGTCTGCAGAAAAATACTCTTTTTCACAAGTTTGCGAGATTCATTTGGACTTTTATTTATCTAATACGTAATATTATTCCACTTGGGAACAAAGTACGTTTGTGTTCTAGCATGAAGTAACTTTACTAGACATAGAAACATAGAAAAAAATGAACGCATGCTAATCGAAGCTAGGCTAGCTGTTTACATTTCTCCTCGGTTTATAAAAATCTCACGCTAACAGATGACACCTGGACTCATATTATAGTCATTTAAATTGTGTCCATTAGTTGTTGATAGTGTCTGGCGTAGCAGGCTCGTTTCTGTACACTTTATGGTCCTGTCACAGTCGTCCTAAAAGGAGAGACCATGAATATCCTCCCCAAAAAGAGCTGGCATGTCCGAAACAAGGACAACGTGGCCCGGGTCCGGAGGGACGAGGCTCAAGCGGCCGAAGAGGAGCGGGAGGCCAAACGCAGAGTGGAGCGGGCAGAGCAAGAGGTGAAAATATCACTAACTATTCACAATACTGAGTAGAAGACTGTAATAACATAAACACAGTGGATATTTATGTGAATATGATTGTTAAGGATTCACCATTAGGGCTGTGCAAAAATATGGAAATATTGATATATCGTATCGTTTAATGTGATGATATAGTATCAATATCGTGGGCTACTGTATCGATATATTGTTATAAACTTTATAAATATATAAACTTTTTTTGTATATTTTATAAAAAATATTGTATTATATTTATTTTGTTACAGAGCTACAGTTTTTTAGTTTGTTCAGAGGAAGGAAACTCGTTTATGCAACACATTTGACATTTTCACTGTATTCATGAGTAAAATGTTTGTGAACTTTGCAGAAGAATGATTTAACAAAGACTTTTAGTATCACAGCCATGATTTTGCTATTATTTTTTATTGAACTGTATCGAATCAAATTGAAATATATCGTATCTAATTGTAAGCTCACTGTATCGAGATATGTATCGTATCTGCAACTTCTTAATGATACCCAACCCTATTCACCATTATGGAAAAAAACTGATTGCCTGGGAATTTGTTTTGCAGTATATTTAAAAAGTAGGATTCTGTTCAGAGTGCACTTTGTAAACTACTCCAGAAGTATTAAAAAATCAATTCCATTGCAATTTACTGTCTAACTCTATTGTGTATGTGTAATGTCTTCTTTTCTCATGAATTACAGGCTCGTACAGAGTATTTGAGGAGGAAAGCTCGGAGTGCCCTTGAGGCTGCAGGGGTCAGCAAGAGTGATGAAGTGGAGGAGAGCGGAGTGAGCAAAGTGTCTGACCATCTGAACCTGTTTCCTCTGGAGGAGTCCTCAGAAAAGAAGGGCAATGAGGAATACCTCAAGGAGAAAAAGGAGGAGAAGGTAATGCCTAAGGATGTGCAAAAATATTGAAATACCGATATACTGTATTGTTTAATTTGATGATAGAGTATCGATATATCGGCAAGAGTATTTTTAGAGATATTTTACTAAATTATTTTGTGTAAGAACTGCAATTGTGTTGATATTTTCACTGTTTTGATGAGTAAAATGAGTGTTTTTCATATTAACTATCCACAAACTGCAGTATATTTAGTAGATTTTTAGTATCACTGCCATGAATTAGCCGTTGTTTTTTTCACATTTTGAAATATAGCAAATCGATTCATATTGAATCGAATGTGCACTGTATCAAAAAATTTATCAGATCGTGGCCTATGTATCAAGCAATGCATCGTATCGGGAACTTCTTAATGATACCCAGCCCTAGTGATGACTGTATGGTGTACAGTGGCTCAATGCTTAGAGTGCGTACAGACATTGTGTCCTTGGACAAGACACTACACCCACAGTGCCAGCATATGAATTTGTGTATGAGGTGTGTGTGGTTCAGAGGGGCTGCCTGCAGATTGGCAGTCTGGTTTTCTCCAAATTTTCAGGCAGCTGTGACTACAAAAATACGCCACCGTCACCATGAAATTAACATAATGCAATAAAGTGTTGTTCAAAAGGTCTGTATACAAAGACAAAAGAATTTACAGATTATGTCCTCTCCATTTTATCTCCATTTGAATAGGTATTTCACCCCACACAGACACACTTTTAAATGTAGATGGCATCATTCAATTTTTCAGGAAAAGCAGGAGCGCGCCATCGGCTTACTGGTTTCGTTGGGGCCACAGCCTGGAGAGGAGATAACACCTTGGTACATGAAAACCGGCTCAGAAAAGCCAGAGAGCAAAGAAGGTGACAAAAAGAAAACCCTGACAGAGGAGGAGAGAGAGAAGAGACAGCGCCGCCTAAAGGACAGTTTAGACCCTCTGAATGATATAAGGAAAGGTCTGGGAACCAAAGACAGAAAAGAACATAAGAGCAAGAAGAATAAACATGACCGCGGGGAGAAGAGGAGTCATGGAGAGAGGTAACTGCAATTATAGACAGATATATTAGAGGGGAATTTTAATACCAGATGGACCGTTGCTTCCAGATGGTTTACAAAATGCCAGATGACTACGTTTGAAAACTACCACATAAAAGATATTGGGGTTAATCTATTATTTATCATTGTAAAAATTCTAAAATAATAATAATAGTTTTATGTGTACATTACAAATTAGGCAATGCAAGTATATTTGTAGAGCAAAATTCGTACACAGTGTTATTCAAGGTGCTTTACACAGCAAAAAATACACATTCAAATCGCAATGCAAACAAATAAAAACATTAACAGTCATCATGGAATTAATTATTGAAATATTTCTGTTGACAGCTCCATAGAGAGACTGCGAGCGGAGCGTCTGCAGAGGGAGGCAGAGGAGCGGAAGAGGGCTCAGGCTCTAATCGACCAGAGGAACGGAAAAGGAAAAGACAGTGACGCCTCAAGGAACCTGAACGACAGGGACCGACCGTACAACAGCGCGTACTTCCCCGAACTCGCAAGAAAACGACAGAGGAGAGACAGAGACAGCTGGAGGGACGAAATATTAAAATCATGAACTGTGTGTTGGTTGTTGTGTTATTTAAAGTTTTTAAAGGTGTACTTGGTAACCTTTGTGATGGACAGTCTGACGCTGCCAGTTACCACGGAGATTCTGTTGCTTTGCCTGGAATTTCCCACAGTATGACTTTAAAGTTACATATGTGCATGGAGACAAACAGTTGAAACCACCATACCAAGTTACAGGTCAGGTCTTGGGAGAGAAGAGCATACTCACAGTAGGAATGTATTTTTTACGGTATTTTTGAGCAATAGAAACGCCTGTAATTAAATAAATGCAAGATGTTTCATTTCAATACCATAGTGTGGAACGTTCTAGGCTAACAACCGTGGAGACAAGTAGATGGAAGACACCCTTCTGGAAAGGTTACACAGTGCAGCTTTAAAGTCTGTCTGAACTCACATTGATACAAGGCAAGGCAAGTTTATTTGTATAGCACAGTTCATACACAAAGTAATTCAAAGTGCTTTACAGAATAAGAAATACATTAAAATCACAATAAAAGCAAATCAAAACATAAATCATCATCATAAAAAAAAAAAAAAAGAGACATTAAATTACAGCCATAAGTTGTACTTTTCTCAGCAAGTTTATCATTACAACCTTAAAGGTGCTGACTGACATGATTGGTTTTTTTTTTGTTGATAAACAACAAAATGACACTCTCATAATTTCCATATTTCATACAAATTGAGTAGTTGCATTAATGTGGAAACAGTGTACTATCCTAATTTTCCCTTCCGTTATCCTGAGATTACTGTACATTGTTTCAATATTTGCAGTATCTGACTAAATATAGCATAGCAAGTGTGATCCTTGTGTTTTGTGCTAGTGCAGGCAGGAAGTAGAATGTGGTGCACAGGCTCAGGACGGTTTATTTTTGTACCTGTGCTCCATGGAGAGGTCAGAGGTCAGATTCAGCCGTTTGAACACTTCAGAGAGCAGGTATTTCACTCCACGCATACACAGTGTTCAAATGTAGGTGGCATTTTATTGAGAGTGAAATGTTTGTTCGTAAAGCTATTTAAGGTCTCATAAATGTCTTCTGACTCTATTCATGTAGCTTATAGTGTGGTTAGTGAATGAACAATGCAAGCAATCGTTAAACTTGTGCTAAAGGCTCTCAATAAAACGCAATATTATTATAAAAATGTCAGTTTCATATTAATGTTTTGTAGGGATCTTTAAATTCTTCCCTTCTGTGGTGATATTGATGAAAACCTCAATATACTTTGGCATTATCCCGCTGACATTCAGACAATACTATTGCAGTTCATCTGAAATGTGCTGTAATGTGCCAGTATGTCTGTGAGGTTCAAGGATCTGCCAAAGCGTGAATGGACTGTTTTTTTTTTTTTTACAGGTTACACTACATTTTTGAGCTATAGTCTTCACAGCTTTTTTTTTTTTTTCCTCTGGAATATCAAGTAGGCCTGTATAGCCTATGTTGAGTTAGCCAGGCTAGCGCCACCTAGTGCCTCTGCCCAATTTCATTTCTCTCCACCGACTAGGTCAGGAATCAGAATACACTAGACCGTTCCAAAAACCCTGGAAGTGCGAGTTTGGGCACCAGCCAATCAGCGAATAGCCATATATTCCATGTTGTCAACGATTCCTGAGATCGAGAATTCAAAGCCGGAATAAAGAGAATGTTTGGTGAATTTTATCAAGGGGAAAGATGTTATTGCCCTTCTTCCTACAGGATTTGAGAAAAGCTTAATCTACCAAATAGCAGCGATTGGTTAAATGAAAATGTACCCTTCTACAGTCGAGCGAACAAATCCTCATGCTGCGAGGTCAGACAGTTTCTATGAAGTGAAACTGTGAAACTGGCTGATCAATCATGCCAATGTTGAGCATCTAAAATAGAGTCATTATTAGGGCTGGGATCATTAAGAAGTTGCCGATACGATACATACCTCAATACATAGGCCACGATACGATACATATCTCGATACAGTGTGCTTTTAATTTTATATGATTCAATACGATATGTTTCAAATGGATTCAATATGGTTTAATAAAAAAATTAAAACTTAATTGTGGCTATGATACTAAAAGTCTTTGTTAAACCACTTCTTGTGCAAAGTTTATATGAAAACACCCATTTTAAATCATCAAAACAGTGAAAATGTTAAATGTTTTGCATAAATGAGTTTCTTTCCTCTGAACAAGCAACAAAACTGTAGCTTTGTAACTAAATAATTTAATCAAATATACCAAAAAATACTCTTGGCGATATATCGATACAGCAGCCCACGAAATCGATACTGTATCATTACATTAAACAATACGATATACTGATATTTCATTATTTTTGCACACTCTTAATAATTATGATAGGGTTTTTTTAATTATTTATTTATCTCCTCCATTGGCCTATTCTTTACTTTAGTTACAGATTTCAATTTACCACTGAAGTAATTTCTGTCTGGCCACGTGTGTCATAACAATTGGAAACCTTCTTCTGTTGTAAAATCTGTAGCAAATAGTGAAACTCTTGCATAATATTGGAAAAAATCGGTTAGGCCACTTGATCGATATAATCCCACTTCATAGACACAATATAGCCTCCCAGTGGGGATATTATCCAGCAACCCTATTTGATCATAATGACGATCAAGAGACCATGACAATGCGCGCTGCGTGTCTGACGTAAGATGCGAGCGAGCGGAGAAAAACATAGACAGTCCTCCAACAATGTGAAGTAGCGGACGAGAGCGAAACGTAGAAAAAAAAAAGCCGTAGAAATCTTCCTCCTGGAGAACTGAACGCGCAGGTTGTTTTGAGAGGAAGACGTCAGCTTTGGTTTGGAGGAGAGCGAGAGAAGCGCCGTGAGGATGCACAATAGGAGACCGCGCACACCGTGTTAAATTGCGGATTAGGGGTTGGGGGGAGGTGGAGGCTTTATTATTAGGAGCATCGCGTATTTCGGGGGGGAGACACGGAGGAGACAACGTGAGCCCGGAGACGGCAGCGCGCAGACCGTGGAGGGGGCACCGGAGGAGTCGGCTGGGACACGGCAGCGCGCCAGAATCGCTCGGATGGTGGTGTTGTTATTGTCGGCCCGGACGCGACGACGATGCGGCCACACTGCTGGGTGATGGTAGTGCTGGCGGGGATCATGTCGTACTTGAGCCCGGAGAGAGCGCTCGGAGCCCCGCAGAGGGAAGGTGAGCGGCCGTGGAGGAGAGGAGGCTGGGCGGGCGGGTTGGTTAAGGGGGGGTCGGGAAGCTGTCACTGATGCTGCGAGAGGAGAAAGGAGAATAAGCGAGGCGAGGCGGTGTTGTCGCGTTTCAAAAAGGCCTGTACATTGAAATGAATACAGTGAGATATGAGCGAGACTGCTGATTGTTATTGCAGTATCAAAACAGGAGCAGCGCTGATTGTAAAACCTACCATAAATTTTCATCTATAGGGCTCCGTAACACCACCAGTTTTTGGTCAGCGCGATACAAATTTAGGTTATAACATCCTTTGCTTTGGCCTGATCCTTTATATGGCTTATTAGCCTCTGGTGGCATCCTCATTTGTGTGAAATCTGCATATGCATGGCTGTTACAACATTTGGCACAAGCTTGTTTATGTCAACGCGCGCACCAGTCATTGTTTTTATGGGCGCTTTTGGCACTGGAGCTGCCGATGGAAAAGGCCTCTTACAAGGGTCCTATTTATATTCAGTGTCTGTCTGGACATCTGTCTAGAGAAAGATGAAAGAATGGCATTGCAAAGGAATTATTTGCAAGTCTTGAGCCACCAGCTTGTTTGTATTTAGAGGACATTGCATTACACGACATAAAGCTATCCAGGCTTAATGAATAAAATGACATTCAATATATGTGTCTTCTTGTTTTGAGAAGTCTTGACTAGTTCAGATTTAGTTAGTTGGTTAGTTTGTCAAGATTCTTCTCTTGCAATGTATTTTTGACTGGTTTCATGATGTCTAATGTCTAAAAAAAGCCTGTATGTATGTTGGATGGAGATAAAGGCCTTATCATATGCTTTAATAATATAATAAGAAACCTGGATAAGTAAATACAATTAATATATTTTCATGTAGTCTAATTTAGCTTTGGACCAATCAAACAAAATGTAGCCCAAAATGTAGATTTTCTAACTAAATAGGCAAAGTCATAATAACTGAATAAAACATTATTTTATCATTTACTCATGCTCAGATCTTGTTTTTGTAGTGCATATTTGTAGGTCTGTTGATGAGCTCGCAGATATCAACAGCGTGTGCATGTGTTGGATATTTATTAATTATTAATAAATTATTTAATAAGTAGACTTTTAAAATGCTTTATTATACAAAAATCTTCTCATTTCACACCGTCCCTCCAAATCACATCGTGCAACTTGTAGCTGTTCTGTGAACACTATATCTTTTGCAAAGGTTTACAATATTCATAAAGTTTGTAAATTTTTAAACAGCTTTTAAAATGCATGTATGCTGTGTTTTCAGTATCAAGATCCAAGTGCACTTTTAGATCAACCACAGAATGTATTGACCCCATAGTAGTAAAGTATATGATAATACAATTTTATTCTGTTTTTTATTGTTTATCAGCAATATGTGGCTCTTTATTTAGAAGGACAGTAATTGCATAGTTGCATTTTGTAACCTTGTTTTCATACCATAACTTTTTTCATATTGCGTTAAAGGAGCACTATGGAACTTTTCTAGTGGGGGGTTTTCCATGTGTTTTTCCTTCTAAATGTTATTTCTTTGCCTGGTATATTCCAGTATTTGGTAAAAAAAAAAAAAAAATACCTTGATAAACATGCATTCTTATTATGACCAGGCTTGCCTCTCTACAGATATGACCTTAAAATTTACCTGGTGGTTGTTTTCATGGAGACAGATATGTTTAAAGCCATACTTTGGAACATTCTAAGCAAAGCAATAACATTTCCATGAAGACAAACAGATGGCGGGTCGTCCACTAGAAAAAGATACATAACGCACCTTTAAGAATAAACATTAGGGTAGCACTGCATTGGGATAAATTATATTACCATCAAATAAGACAATAAATAGTGGTTTATGTCCATGCTATTGCTGTCTTGTTAAAGGTGCACTGTGTAACTTTTCTGGAGGAGGATCTGCCAGCTGCTGCTAGAGTCCATAGAGATGCTTTGCCAGAACAACTATATTTTTTTATCATTTATCAATACGATAATCTATGCCCATTCCATCAGGTCAAGTTACAGGTAAGAATGCATGTTTTTCAAGGTCTTTTAAGAAATAAAAGTTCCCATAGTTGAATACATGCAAGATAAGTTTAATGCCAGAT